GGTGGAGCTTTATGGGAAAAGCTGCATGTACCGTAATGTCTGGCACGGTCCCTCTGCCCTTTGATCTCCCTGACATTGAACAGTCGCTATCGCTGGCCGCAGACCATCCAAGTCAGAAGGCAAACAGCGAGCGCACATAGACGCAGCCAAGATCGACTCACTGGGAAGCCCCACCTGCTGTTTTTCGGTTAGTAATAAGTACTCTCTGCTAGCGTGTGCACGGTGGCTTGAACCCCCATACCGCCACGGGGGTTGGAATTGCTAGCGGCTGATACCAATTAAGCTGCGGAGGGCGACAAGCTACGCTTTTGGTTACGATGTAATTCATTTTGGTGATTGCTCATGCTCTTCCATTTGTCATCGGACGTTTTAGCCAAAATGTCTGGCCGGTTTATTATGTTATGCCCCCCTGATGCTAAATAAGCCTTTCTGGTGATAAACTGGCTGTACCAGCTTGCTGATTCAGCTGGTGATCGGGGTGTGTATTTTGGTGATGTAACTGGTCATTCTGGTTCCCCAATTAATTTTGTTCCGAATGTCAATGAAGCAACGCTGCATACAGCAAATACGCCACCAATGTAAAGGCTAAATATGGGTTTAGTATACATATATATATATATATATATATATGTATATATATATATATATATATATATAATAAGTAGGGGTAAAAATGGAATAAGTACTCTCGCAACAGCAAATATTGCGACTGTCCAATCATCGCCTCCCAGTCCAAATGTTCACTTCCAAACACGGTGGGGACAACAGCCGCTGGACCCGTGTGCAAGTGGTCTGGGGACTGGCGGCCGGTTGATAATTGACAAGTCCAACAGCGTACCCCCGGCAAGTTGGGCATCACCGTCCGAAGTGGTACAAACGCAGCATGTGTGCATGCATGTCCACATGCCAGAGTTGTACCGATCGTCTCATCGCTCTTCGGTACCACTTGACGCATCATGAGGCGCACCACCTCGCCACCGATCCCGAGTGCCAGCTGGCGGCGACTTTGGCCGCACGTGCCACCTGCGCCGTTGCGGGCCGTCGGGGACCGGAAAGGCCTGCCCCACGCGTTTCTGAGAATACCGCGCGTGGGACGGAGGGTACGGCGCCCGTCCAACCCGGCCCGAGCGAGAGGCGGTGGTGAAATTTCAATATGTGGGAAAAGGAAGACGGCTTTCTCCAGCAACCTGCGGGGGCGTACTTTTGCAATGGGGATTCAGAACCATGAAATTTATCATTCATTCATTCAGATTCAGACCATGAAAAAGTGTGAAAACTGCCCCAAAAAACAAAGCGTTTTACCCCGGATTTGGACAATTTTTATCTTATAGAGCAGGAGGCTGAAACTTTAATATTGAGTTTGGGCGGTCTCACATTTAATCTGCAGTGAGGTGCGTTACTGGACATGTGGCGATACTCGACGTAACTGCCGCTTGTCATGTAAAACACTTGAAATGGAAGCTTGAGAGTTCTATTACCGACAGTAATAAAGTGGTCAACACATGCCTCCATATCTCACATACATGCATGCGTGCTACGTTTGTGCCGTTTTGGCCGGCCTTACGTCTAGCCTGCAGGGGGTCCCTTACTGAACGTGGAGCAACCTAGCCGAAGTTGTGCCTCATAATGCTTGAGTTGGTGACACGAAAGCGATGCGACGGTTGGTACAGCTCTGGCATTTGGACATGCGTGCACACGTGCTACGTTTGCGCCAGGTCTAGCAGCGTTGCACCCAACTTGCCGGGAGGTCCGTTGTTAAACTCATTAATTATCAACCGGCCGGCCGCCAGCCCCCAGACCGCTTGCACACGTGCTCAGTGGCTGTTGTCCTCACCGTGTTTAGGAGTGGACATTTGGACTGAAAGGTAATGGTAGGACGGCCGCAGTTGCTGTTGCGGGAGTGCTTACTACATTCCGACATCTATTTAACGTTTACATTGTGTGCGTGCCTGTGCTGTACGCAGCGTTTCTTGACATTGCGCGCCTGCTCGGGTGCATCTTGCCTCCGGTCATAGACCGGGCGGCCGCTGACCCGCCGGCTGACCGCTGCCCGCCACCTGGTGGTCGCCGGACGTGAAGGAGGTCTGTTAGCAGACCTTTGCTGGTCGCACAGACCCTTCGTCCCTCAGGGCGAGGGTTAAGCCGTTCCGGTAAAGAATAGTCCGGTGTCGAAAGCCACCGCCGCGGTCTGGCTTCATCCCTACCCCCCCCCCCCCCCCCCATTTCAACGGCTTTGGACAGACGGTACGTAACTCAGGCATTTGCGTTGGCACTTGATGAAACAGAGCGTGCCCGCAGAATGTCATTCACTCGCACTATTATTACCCCAGGCGACGTCGCGCTCGTACAGAAAACGATGTGTGTACCAACCGCCAACATTCCGTTTTACACACGCGTGCATATGTTCTAAAACAAGTAGCTATGTGATGACGACACTCATAAGATAGCATTTGAAGCTGTCAGACAGTTCGTGGCATTTATTTTGCATTGAGCGTCCATATTGCGCTCATATGGAGCGTCCAAATATACCCGCCATATTGTTCATGGCGCATATTGAGTTTACGAACGCGATGTAAAAAGTAAAATACCGGTTGTGAACCTAACCCTGTTCACCTTCCAACCCCCTTATTCTAGCAGCTTGCGCTAAGTTATTCGCCGCCGCCAACGAGCCGGATCGCCCGCCCTAATCCGAGGGTCGAGTCGGGTGACCCTTCTAGTGCCACCCCCTGTGCAGAAGGCCTTCTCTGTGCTAACCAAGCGACTGAAAATAGCTTCACTTTGACAACCAACACTAACACTTCGAGCGACTAAAATGACTAATTCCGACAGCGAATCCGCTCAGACGATGGGGGAACTGAGCTCCACGAGTCAGAGGCCCCTGGGAGCGGTAGTGAAAAAAGAGCCCCGGTACGGAAGAGGCCCATGACTTACAGAGGTGGCGAGGAGCCCAACTTTCTGGCTTTAGGACCCAGGGCCCCGTGCCGGCGATGGGAGCCCGTAACGTTTTTCGAGTGAGAAGATCCAACGTTAGAAGTTTTGTCGCGTGGAACTTCATGCGTTAGAAGTTCCTACAGTAGAAGTAATGTCGCGAAAGTCTGCATTAGAAGTTTTATCTCGGTAAAAGTTTTAGTGTTAGAAGTTTTTCACTAGAAGTAATGTCCGCGTGAAAGTATCTGCCATAGACGCTTTGACGCGTAGGAGCATTAGCGCTCAGAACTACTCCGTTAAAAGTTTTGTTGCGTGAAAGTAATATCGCGAAGAAGTATTTCCATTAGAAGCTATGTCGTGGTCGTCAGCAGCAATTGCGTAAGAATTTCTGTCGTGGTATCGCCGCGCAGGTACCGCTCGGGGACGCTCCCAAAGGGGAACGAACCGTTCTGGGAAGTAATCGGAGGGGGGCCGTTCGGGGAAAGAAACAGCAACGGACACTCGGGGAATACAAACTGCCCACAAAATTTTCTTCAAAACACTACATTGGTAGGTGTTGGCTAGTCACAACGCTTCCAGACTGTTCCAGTATGCCTTTTTAGATGTGAGTGGTTACCAGCTGTCATTGTGAAAGCAGTGCCGTAGAAGAGCACTCAGTCCCCGAGCACAGCGAGAGGCCGCCTGCGCTGGCCCTCAGAGGCGCAACTGGAATGTGCTCGCGATGTGGATGGGGCTCTGGCCCTCTCATGCCAGCCCCATTGGCACGAATGTCGTCGATCGGTTTAGTAACGAGCTTTATCAGCCTCTCTAAGATTATCCGGCCTGAGTGTCGCACTCTAGTTCATGGAAAGTATATTTATCAACATTGGTTTGCCTTTCATTTCTGGCGTACATTCCTTTTTAAAGCAGACGTGAAAACAATACAAAAACAAGATCAGGCAACGTGCATCCCAACGCTCACGAGGACTTGCCGGTTGTGACACATGTGACAGGATCGTACAGGGGCGCTAAGCACTACGCACTAGGTTGAAGCCCTGTTGCATTCCTTACGTACGATTTTTCATACACGCTCTATACATAAAAGAAACCGGCGTGCATCGGCTAGAACTGTGGGGACTGAACACAGCATGCAAGCTCAGCACGTGCTCATCAGCGACGCGCCGGCGCACCTAACGTGTGACGTGTAGCAGCTGACGGCTGACATGGCCGATACATGTATTTATGCTCCCGGTCTCTTCTGGAACAACAGGGTAAGTTATTGGAGCTATTCGAAGGTAGTCGGGGGCGAGTCTTCAGTCGTCTCCTCATGCTGTGTTCAGCTGCAGACTGGCATACCCGGCTGCCGACCGTAAGCCTGCGTCACATGGAGACGCGGCCCATAAACCGACAGATGCTTTTACAGCTCTAATCACGTGTGTTTGGCTGACTGCTATAGTTTCCTAAAATTACACCGCTGTTCACACACAACAAATAAAATGCATACTTTGAAAAACGATGCCCTTGATCGGCGGGATAGTTTCTTGTGCTTGTATTCAAAGAAAGAAGAATGATAAAATTTCGATGGGCTGGCCGCCACACATACACAACGTGGGGCGCCGTTTCATGAGAATAACAGTAAAAACACAATAGTGGTTTAGAAATTGGTAAAATATCTTTAAAATGCATCCAACAAATCAGTAATCCAGCAAATTACCGGTGTTTTCATTCCTGAGAAAATCTTACATGGACTACTATTCGGGTCAAACCTGGGCCTGCGCCAGCTTTAACGTGGCCAAGCTGTTCCCGCCAGTCGTACCGACAGCTCTTAAAACGGCTGACCGCCGCACATTTCACCACTCCGCGGGGCATCATGTGACACTTGCAGCCGCGCGCCGGGATCAAGGCCTCCCAACCCACCCGTTGGCACCCTGTTGGGCACTGCTGGGCCCGCGAGCGCGCACGGTGCCGCCGCCGTGTGGGGCGCGCGTGAGCACTCGAGACGTCGCTGCGGACATGCGTCGCTGCCGGGAGGGCCCGTGGCCGCCGCCGCCGCGCCCGGATCGGACGGCGTCTGCTGGCGCAGCGCCAGCCGGAGGGCACGTTCGGGCGCCACCTCGGCGCACGACACCAGGTTCCCGTAGCGCGATTCGCTTGAGTACTTTTTTCGCGCTCCCTGCAACAGGACAACGTCTCAGGCACACTCGGTCGATGAGCACACACAGTTTGCTGTATTTTCCGCTCCAAAAATCCCGGCATCGACAGCTGTATCGCTCCTTTAAAGCAGTTTTGATCAATGTTTGTAGCGGCCGATCATGGCGCATAGGTGAAGAACTCAACATAAAAAGCGAGACATACGGATGGCAGCCATCACTACATGGAGCTGTTCCACCTTTAACACATTATAACGTCAACAATTTGTATGCGTCTGGATAGTTGGATCTACAAACGCAACAACTTAATCTAATTTTATACCTAGCACAAAAAATATAATATCAAATAGATAATGACTTAAACAGCACCCATGTGGTATACACCGCGCTTGGCTGGAGGGCATATTCCCTCCCTGAGATCCGCAAAACAGAGTTAGAGGCGTCAAACTTACAGGGTACGTAGGGCTCACAATGAGCACATTTGTGCCAAATATTTAGGTCCATACGTTATGACTTTCGGGTCTAATAATACCAAACTAAGTAAAACCCCAGATCGTTGTCCGAAGTCCCCGAAAACCTTTTTACGTAACCAGCTTTAACATAGCATACTTCTCTACGCAAAAGTTTGTTTACATATCGGGCCATTGGCCGTGTGTGGCATTCAGTAGATCACAATGACGACAGCCCTTTGAATTATACTGATATTTCCATATGAAATATGCGCCCAAAACTACTCTGGACGAGGTGTTCCCCACAGAAAAGCTTAATCGATGTCATTTTAGGTAGGTGGTCTGCCTTGACCTTCATGAAGTCAACTTAGGACTTTGTTGACGTCCAGGTGATCAAAGAATCTGAAATGATCGTCATAAACTATCCCGTACAGACAGCTTTCCAGCAAAAAGGCGGTTGGGTTTTGGCCTTAACATGACTGTTATGTGGGAACCAAGGGCAATTTAGTCATTAAGTCATTAGTCATAACATTAGTTGTAATGCTAATTTTTATTGTCCGCATGTCTAAAAAAAACAACTCAAAGTAGGATGACTTCTTCTAACATTCCGTTGTCGCATCAGTTTGAAAGACTCCTTAGGAGTTGTCTTCGATGACAGCCATGGCCCGACTTTGAACTTCTACAGGTCAGAGCCTGATGAGACACATCCAATTTGTATGTCAAAATATCGGTATGCGATGGCCTACAGTTATAGCAAGTTTGGCATGGCTGCACCGCACCGTCTGGAATTTATTCTGGAAAACCTTGTGGTGGTCAAGTGGACCTGTATCCAACCAAGTGTTTGTTTAGGTACAATGCTGTGAACTGCGCATAGAAATGGAACACCTAAATCTGTGTTTTGTGATCCCATTGCATCAATGAATTTCACAGCCTTACTGTCAAAAAATTAAATTCAACGGAGATCCAGCTGTGTCAGACGGCATTTTTTGTCTGCTGCCTAAAAATCTTAACTCACAGTAGCACAACTGCGCTGAGGCATAATATCATCGTTACAGGTTGCTCCATTGTATGTTCCCAAACGCTGTTGACTTAGCGACTTAGTAGATTTTGCACGGAAATTGACGCTAAGTATTGATGCAACCATGACGATTTTTGACCCATGGCAGAGCCCTTGTTTCATGCTTATCAGACATGAAAACAGACTGCCCAGGCCGGCCTTTGATTCTGGGGCCCACCCAAAATGAAAGCATTCTTTCGTCGCGTTCCTAATCGCTGCTTACTTGCGGAGGTTATTAATAGCTTGGTTTGCGAGGAATAAACAGCCTCACCTTTTCATAGCGAACATAAGCTGCTGACCACAATTATGCTTTTATCCTGACCGCTGGTTTACGATCAAGCTTAATCATGTCCGTTCGTGTTTTACAGTACACGCGATAGCGAATGTCACGTGTGTTTCTACACAATTAAAATACCTGCAGAGAAGAAGCTCGCGAATGGCTCAGCTCTACTAAAAGAAGCGTCGCCAGCGATTGCACATCCTCTTTTCTGAAACAGATGGAATATTAGCACATAATGAAAGTCAACACTGTCGTCTTCAACATTACACCAATGTCGGCTTTTTAAAAAAGCTGTGAATAATTTGGTGGTGGTAGCAGCATATACGCTTAGTGCTGACGATGTTTCTGCATTCCAGTGGTAAAGCCACCTGCAATTGGTCCTCGCATAGCATTGCCAATGTTCTTCAGATATTGACACGTTTAACATGAGGGATGACGAGACTTCGTGCACGCTAAGAGCCGACGGTGGGGGGATAATTATTCCCACCAGCCAATCCAGTTCCACACAGAATAAGACAAAAGCAAAGCGCAATCAGATGACTTTACCTATCCTGAACGAGATTTACGAGCATTTTAAATCAGAGGTAAGGGCCGATGGTACGTTAGGGCATATTGGGCAACGAGTGACGCCGCAGGCCAAGCGTGTTGTAAAATTGAAGGGAATATTCCGCATTTCAAGATCAAGCATCATATGTGATGAAATAAGATCACTTCTGTCTCTTGGTATATTTTTTCATGGGAAAGAGAGCTTTAGACAACACAAGTTCTCTGTTCAGTAAGTATGCTCCTCAATACGCAATTGTTTGATTACGCCATCCTACCTTGCACAACATTGATTGAGAGTTAGCTGAAGGCCGTTATGTCTGAAAATCGTGTTCACGAACGTCCGACATGAATGACTCGACAAGTACATTTCTATCGGCCTTGATCACCGCATGGCCAATGGAATGACAGGATTTGTAGGACTTTATGGCGTCATGGATGCCTATGTGGCCTTGAAATGGTTCCTCCGAAATAGTCTGCACATCTTCGCAGGTGTGTAGCTCAGAAACAGGAGGGGTTTAGGTTTCAAGAAGAGCAGGGTTTGAACTGCACCGAATGATCTTCAGGATGACTGTTTTACTTCAAAATCGCATGCAAATGTGGGGCACTCCTTTTCAACGGACTGTTCCAAATTTGTATGAGTTTCCAACTGAAGTAACAATCTGGAAGCTCATTCTGTTTTTGGGACGGTGCATCGAACACGCAGGCTCGGCCATGAGCAAGATTTTAGTGGGGTCACTCTAATCCCCTCCACACCCGTGACACAGACTGCGGACCTTGCCCTATACATTAAGTTGTATACCAGGTAATGTATTCTGAGCCATGTGCTATGCATGGTTTTGTTTGCAACACGTGAGTTGTCTTAGAGAAGTGGAAGTCAAACAGCAGTACTAACAAGCGTACTCGCACAACGAGTTCATCAGCAAGACATTATGTTTCTACCATGAGACGATCAATCGGGCGATTGGTAAACCGCATATTGTTCCTTAGAATGGTGCATTTTCGCATGCATCGCTTTAACAAGCGGTCTGTAGCATCGATTTCACATGCGAAGTCATTTTTTATCATTAGGCGCAATGGTTCGGTGTTACCTGAGGCAACCGCCCCCGCCCATCACACGGTAAGTGCAACGCCGGGTGTCGGTTTATGACGATATTTCGACCGGCTCGCGCTTCACAAACCCAGATTTTCAGGGAAAACTTTTCTTATGCCGTGTTCTTTTGGGCTGCAGCGCCTAGGAATGCCTTTGTCTCACTTGGTTTTGTTTCTGATGACACATCCTTCATTGCACGAGCTCGCGTGCTCCTAGCTCAGAAACGAGAGGTTTCACGTCTTAAAAGGGCCTAACTACCGGGAATGATGTTTCAAATGGCTATCTCACTTTCAAACCCCGAACAAACAGAAACAAGTCATTACGAGAGTGAAATGAAGCAAAGAGGAATTGTTCAACTGCAGTGTTATGAATCGTTCGGAATAACTTTTTTGCAAACATTTACTTTTCTTTTTCTATTTGCTTTTATTTTCCCCTGCTGTCATAGCTTTCCGAACTTGACGAAGTTGGCCGCCATCTAACAGGCATCACGTGCGCACGCCACAACTAGGGACAGCATCGCAGCAAAGTTTTAAGCACCATCTATAAAATGAAGACAAAACTAACTTTTCGATGACCTAAACCGCTTGTGTCTGCTCCGGCTGCTGAGGATTGGCAGCAATGAGGAAGACACCCATCAACGGATGGATCTTGCTTTCTTGCCGACAGGTGACCGGTTACACAAATCGGCCATGCAACGACACATGTCGGTAAAACTTCAGCAAGCATTGTCTGGTCCTTCTGTCGAAGTGTGGTGATTCCCTGTCGTCGCCCCGGCTCCGGTTCGCCAAAACTTGAGCCTGTTTTCGACACGTGTTCTTCAGCTTTTAGCTGAGTGGATAACTGTAGGCTTTCCTTGCTAATCAAATGTGGAGCTCAAGTTGTAGTATAATTGCAAAGATGCAAACGAACCGACTAACTGCAGCAGGCTGCATACAGAAGTCCTGAAAGCATTAAGCACAGCTTTTAAGGAACTGAGCTACTTGTTGTTGACAGCCGCCTGTCGGCACGACCAGTGGTCATAACACGTAGTACGGGTACGACCAGTGGTCATGAGACATAGCTCGACAATGGTGGAACTGGCCGGACCGGACCGGGTAGAGCCGGGCCGGGCTGGGCTGTAGGTGCGACAACACACCACAGTTGACTGGCGTGGCGACTCGCTCGAGAGGCGGCCTCGCTCGTGACCACAGGGCCCGGCAACCAGTTACGAGTAACATTTCACGGAGCGTCACTGCCCGGCTACGAGGCGATAAAAGCGACGATTGATGCTTGTCGATTATGCATTACCAGCCTCCAAAACTAGTTATAGGCCACTGACTGAACGGCCCCAGGCCTGTGATTGTTTGATGAGACCTGTGAATGACCTCAGGTGGTCACCTGTACGGGTCAGGGAACAAGTGTTGGCAGCAAAAGTCCATCAAAAAACAAGGACAGAGCGCATCAGAGCTGGGGCATCAGGGCATCGGGCGTGGTTCGTGACACGCTATAGCGCATCACTTATGACAAGTGCTTCACCGATCCGCGCGTTGGTTCGACTTGTCATACCGAACAGCATTATACCAACATTTGTCTAAAATGCGCATGGCACAAGGTACGGCGAGTTTGCAATATGAGCTTTCTTCGTTTTACAGCTATGTTGCGAAATCTTACGGGTGTGGGTACAGCTGTGGAACAAAAACCAGTACAGTGATGCGTGAGAGATGCAGTGCTAAGTGACTCAGAGAGATACGGTTGAGAAAAAAAACAGTCTACAGAAAGTTTGAAGCGCATTCACCGATAGAAATAAGCGTCAATTGTCTATTTTAAGAGAAAGCCATCATGATGACCTCGAACAAGGATCATAGGTCAGGAATCGTCAAATTTTCAAACTTCAATTTTTTACAACAGTTGCAAAAATTATGTTAACTCGTCTATCCAATATTTCAGCATCATGTATAGAAATGTTCAGAACTTATTTTGAAAAATATTAGGGGGTATCTGAATAAAAGTGTTCTTTCACCCCTCCACGTCGGGAGAGGATCAAACTGAAGGGACCTAAAACAGGAAAACTTACAACAAACCATAGCAGGCGTACATGAATGCGGGCAGGTAGTTCCAATAAGTGGCTACTTACATTCGAATGCTTACTGAGTACGTGCGGATTTACGTAACAGGGGTTGGTAGGTGGACGTTCAGGATCCGGGCCCAGCAACACCTTTCATTTAGCGTCACAACGTGCAATTATCTTCGTGTAACATGGACGAGTATGCACGACACTTACGAGCGATAAACGCAGCTCAGTCCTGGCATCCACCTGGCGTCATCTCCAAGAAACAGCAGTTCACCAGCATAGATGGCAGCGGCAGCGACCAGGGACGGCGGGCGGTATTCGCCTCCGATTCGACAGCTGGCTAAGTCGAGCAGGAAGTGACACGTATGTATGTACCTCGGATTCTAGGGGTGCGGAATGGTGCGCAGTCAACAGTTGGTCAGGTCAGGCAGGTAGTGAGAGGCGTGTGTGTATCTTGGAATCGAAGATCACAGACCAAATTCTATTACATATGTTTAGTAATGGGTATGCCACAAAGCAACTTAGTTCTGAGTTTTACCGGGGTACCGTAGAAGCCACAAACATGCGCATATAGAACACTCATGTATATGCTTTCAATGCCGTGGGGCTCATTTGCCTCGTGTAAGACAAGTGAGTCACTTAGCATCCCATGTGGGGTGAATCATTCAACTACCAGTGATATCTTTATGTTAAACGGCTTCGACTGCTGGTGACAAGCTGCGTGGCATAACAAAAAAAGAAGAAAATTATCGCAGGGCGTACGTAGCTTAAGGGACCAGCTCCAAATGGCGATCTTTATAGAGCTTGAGTGTGTTTCCAGTGATGCATAGTGATCTGCATAACCATAATCAGCTTTTCCTGTTTCGGTCTCCGGCCCAATATCGCAAGGATCAGCTTAGCACTGCCCCACAAAGCCATGATCTCCAACGTCTTCGATTGGATCGCAGAGTAAGACATAATAAGCCATCACACACAAGACGAAATACGGGATCCTCGTTACCTGGCACGAGGCAACACACGATGTTTGGCCTCCCCAAGCCGCGAGGGCGCCACTCGGTTAGCCAGCGCGAGGGGACTCGTCGATTGGCTGCAACACAAGGTGCCGCTGGCCGGCGTCGGCCGGGTACCTGGCGCGAGGAGAGCAGTCCGAGCCGGTGCAGCAGCAGCGACAGCACAGCCGCCGGATGCACCCGCACCAGACGGCAGTCCGTCACGCGCAGCACGCGCAGCTCCATCTGCAGCAGGCTGGCCAGGGAGTAGCCGTCCTTGGTCAGCTGCAGCAAGGTCCTCGCCTGCAGCCGGCGGGCGATCAGAGTCGTCAGACCGTTGCGCCGTCCCGTCAGGTAACCGGAGTCAACAAGAGCCAAGACAAGTCATCCAAGTCAAGCTCATATCGGGCTCAGGAGGACACCGACGTGACGACTAAAACAGTGATCAGGGCATCGGGGCCAGGAGGACACCAGTATGGGAGGCGCAGAAGCCCAGGGAGCAGCCGCTCTTTGGTCTACCGACATCAGTTAACCAAACGAAGAGCACCGGTGTGGAACCTAAGACAACATGCGTCTACAATTCAACGCAACAAAATTTTAAACACCCAGAGAGTGATGCCAGTTTTTACAAATCAGAAGTGATTCTTGTGGCCGAGCTGGAGATCAACATGACGAACTTTTAATGCGGCATATGTGCTAGCGGCGTAAGCGTGGGCACAGGAGGCACGCGCCCCTCTTAGGTTCCGAGAGGCGGCCCCTCAGGACTAATGGACTCGGGACTCAGGACTCAGGGCTCAGGAACAGTCGGCTCCGTGCTTAGGAACAGTCGTGTTCGGTCTGCGCCTGGTCTGGGTCTGGTCAGGTCTGGGCCTCAGGACCCATTTCCCCAAGCAGGACCAAGACCGGGGCCCGCGATTTACTTGGTCGGGGCTCTTGAGTTAGCGAGAGGCCCTGTGTTCCTCAGGGGCCCGGAATGCCTGACAGGAGTCCTGCGTTGGCAAGGGGCCCCGAGTCGACCAGGGGCAGAGTTCGATGGGCCGAAGACGGGCCCAAAGGGTCTCTTGGGACCAGTCATCAATTGCATGATTAGAGGGTACGAAAGAGTAGTTGTGGGTAATATTAAGGACCCTGGTCCGCAGGGTCGTGCCCTTAAATGTCAGCCAGGGAGCCTCTTGCACTGACTAGGACAATGCGGAGCCCTACTACAGTCAAAGACCACCAACATCGCACAGTCGACTCCGTGTGGATATGAGTCCTGGGGACCCATTTCAAAGCAGACACAAGACCGAGACCATAATTTGCCGCGACCAGCGCCAACAGTACCGAACGTCTTTGATGAATCTTTTGGCAACGATCTATTAAACAAGCATCATGCGTATAATAGGCAGCATCACACGCGGTACGCATACACGGTATATGACATATTGTATGCGGCAGTTGTATCGTGTTGTGCAACCGTTTCGCATGCATAGCCTTTGACATGTAGAGGTTTTGACCGTAGAGGAGTTGTGAATACAAGTGATGCTATTACGTTTCATCCTAGCAGTTTTCGTGCGCTAGCAGCAATGTTGCGCAGACGTTTAGCCAGTAACAGTCGAGCCATTTGACAATTAGGGCTGCAGAAGTTCTTTTTGCGTGCAATTTTTTATGGTGGAAGTTTTGTCAGCTGATGTGTTGTGTGGATGTTTTCCAGACTCAGTTTACACCCATGTCGCATATGATGTGCACAGGTGCTGTCAGTAGAAGTTAAGAGCTACTCCGTCTAAGCTCGTTACACCGCTGTTTTGCTCCTAGCTGTTTTAATGTGGAGTGGTGGCTATTGCAGACATCGCTGATGCTGGTACCGAGGGATCGTGAACTATGCGGTCTAAATGAGTGCTGCAAACACTTTGGGCACTATGAGCACCTTCGGCGCCTCGGCCACTGAAGACACGGGGCACTGCTGTGGCAACAGTGCCCATTGCAGTGGCTGTGGGCACTCAATAGATGAGGGCACTGCGTATTCTGGGCACCGCAGGCCACATGATGGCACCGTGGACTTTGCGTACACCAGAGTATTATGGGCCCACAGGATGCAAGGGCACTGCGAGTACTGAAGGCACTACGAGTGTTGTGAGCTTGCGGCCACCGCAAGCACTGTAAGCGCTGTCGTCGCTGCCGACCCGAGGGCACTGTGGGGCGTGGTCTCAGTGCGGGCACGAGTTCACTGCAGGCGTGACGGGTACAGCGCGAAAGCGCTGTGGTACCCGCTGACACAAACAGCATGTCTTGCACATCTGACACCGCAGCCCTCGCGGGTCGTGCCGGCCCGGGCGCGTCCCTTTACCGTCGGCAGGCGCGGCTCCTCCACCTTGGCAGCCAGCCAGAGTGAGGCGAGACCCAGCAGCTGGAGGTCGTCCAGAGCACAGCTGTCCGTGAACAGGACGCGGTCCATCAGCGACACTGCCAGATGCAGCGTGCTCGCGTCCAGCCGAAGGTAGTGCTGCCGGCAGAAGCAGAGTTTTACGAAATGAGTTCTGGGCGAGGCTGATCAGTGGAAAATGACCCAACCTGCGCCAAAATAGGCCATCAAAGAGGTCTTTGCCTAGATCTGGCCCCGCGGATCTGGAGTCCGAGTTGTGGGTATGAAGTCGGCACTGTCCTCTCAAGTTCTCCCAAGTCCTTCCAACTGAACAGGGAAAATACCCCTGGCTGCGGGCATGCCGCAGGTGACGCATTGGTCAACGGTTGTGCAACTTCATTGGCTACTGGATCGACGAACACCTTGGTACCATACTCCCGCAGTCGGTTGAACATCAGCTTCAAATCACTCTGCCGTCTCGACCACCGTCCTCTTGCTTTGTGTGCACTGAATGCGACGAACGTCGCGAAACCAGTCATTTTTGGAACGTCAGCGACCACAGTGCACATGTGAGCACCCAGAGTCATCGCACAACCGGGGTTCAAACCGAAACGATCAGTCTTAGACCAACTGTACTCATATCCTTTGATAACCTTCGCAGCCTCACGACACCTTCGGGCGAAGGCGACATCTGCCACATTAATGGACACAACTGATAAAGCATGTTACGAACCCGCATACAGTTGTGCGCCTAATTCCGTCTCTGTACGGCTTTCTTCAGATCTGTACAAGGCCGCGGAAAGTGGCACCAAAAATGCAGTACATAGAAATATTCTCCATTGCATTTGAAGTTTAACAAGCGATCGAAGCTGCAACTAGCAATGCCTCACCTTAAGCGTAGTTCCCCGCTACGTCTCTGCCCCGCAGGTAGTAGCCAATCGCACAATGGATAGCTGAAAGATCCTAACCACATCGCCACAAATTGTTGCGGCGAGGCTTGGGCACCACTTAAGAGACTGAAATTTTGATAATGTAATGCACCATGGGTCTCATTAAGCCACGCAATGAAGAGGCTTCGCGCCAACCTAGAGCTGTTGGAAAGAAGGGGGCGGGGTATGCATCTCCCTCTTGTTATCTGACACTGCCCGATGTCCCTCGCAATCCTGACAAGATCTACGAAGTCTCTTGGCGTCTATGTGAGCGCCAAGTTTAAATGATCATAATGAGACCAATCATCATTTTTGTCTCTGGTCTTCAGAGTGCACCAAGCGTAACAGCAGCAGCCACTCCAACATTTGCCCGACACATCGGAGCCTACAACCCGACGTGGTACTGCCGATGTGATCCCCTTCCTCACCCAAGCCGCCACATGGCCTCATCCTTCACCTTAAGCACTCACAAAACACCTCTGAAACACCAAAAAAACAGGCAGAAAGTGTTCAAAACATCTAAAGGCAACAGCACCCACTGGATGGCAAAGCCGCTACTCGGCATTCAACTGTCGTTTGACATTTTCGAAGCGTCATGACCCTCTTGTCCGCATTATCTCTCCAGTAACTGAGTGCGTCCGTGCTGACCTGGACCAGTATGAGCCAGTCAACGATGATGGCGCGGTCCGACGGCGTCACAGACTCCTGTCCGGCGAGGAAGTCGGCTGCCAGCAGCTGGTGCCGCTCCTCCTCCAGCAGCAGGTGCAGAATGTCCTGGCAGGCACACCGTGTTCGGTATGGGCAGACCGGCTGTCGTCACGGACAGGCGTGTGACTGCACTAACGACGCGTCCATTACTGATTGTACTCTGAACAGGGCGACCAGTGTGCCTGCAGTCACTACTGACGGGACGCTGGATATGGATGCCACTGTACCCGCAGTCAATACTGATGGGACACTGGACATGGATGCCACTGTACCCGCAGTCACTACTGATGGGACGCTGGGCAGGGTGGCAATTGTACCCGCAGTCATTACTGATGGGACACTGGACAGGGTGACAATTGTACCCGCAGTCACTACTGATGGGACGCTGGGCAGGGTGACAATTGTACCCGCAGTCATTACTGATGGGACACTGGACAGGACACTGGACAGTACCAATAAACGAGGCCCACGGCACGTACTGACCAGCTGGTTTGGAACCGCCCACTTTACCCGAAATGCAGCCTGGTCGCTGCGGAAAGATGCGCCGGCATCAACATCGGGGATGAAGAGTAAATCTAATCCCGAATATTTGCGTAGAAAACGCGTGGGCTGTCGCACAAGATCTATGCAGCCTTATTTTTTGTTTGTTTAAGCGTTGACTTTTACATGCTTTCTGAGCAGGCTTCTGATGTCATATGAACGTGGAGCGTCTTTTCTCATTTTCAGCCTAGATACGTGGGAAGAGCTGTAGACCTAAACAGTCCGGCGACACCGACGCCTCGACGTCGCGGGACATGGTAAGGTAAAGAACGAATGTGATACAATTCAATTTTCGTCACCAGTGACACTGGTCGCACTGTGGTCCTCATGGCCGCCCACTTCCACGTTGCAGACCTGTCCGCCAACTGGAAGGACGGCGGCAGTTTCAGTTTTCTGGCTGCCTTAGGTGTGGTGTATGCGAGAGAGATCGTGGCGGTCTTTTCCGTGCCGCGTGCGGGAGGGGTCCGTCGCAGTGCCAGAGCAGCCACTGGCGAGTGATATGATAAGCTCGCGGCTGTGACGAGCCGGCCATTAGCAGGCAATTCAAGCTGATATCGGCTTCGCTAACGAAAGCGTCTTCACACTGATCGGAACGTCGCCGTGGTGTCAATGGCAGACAAGCCCGCTATGTCATCGGTCCCCGGGCCTGGGGCGTCATTGGTCGTCGGACTCACAGCGTCATTGGTCCCTGGGCCATTAGTAGCATTGGTCGCCGGGCCCACAGCGTCGTCGGTCCGGGCCAGCGGTGTCATTGATCCCCGGGCCGGCGGTGTCATCGGCCCAGGGGTAGTGGCGTCATCGATAACCGGGCCCACGGCGTCCTGGGTCCTTCAGCATGCGGCGTCATCGGTCGTCCGGGCCCGAGGCGTCATCGGTCGCCCGGGCCCGAGGCGTCATCGGTCGCCCGGGCCCGAGGCTTCATCGGTCGCCCGGGCCCGAAGCGTCATCGGTCCCCGGGCCCGAGGCGTCAATGGTCCCCGGGCCCGCGGCGTCGTCGGTCCCCGGGCCCGCGGCGTCGTCCCAGGTCTTCAGCATGTTGGTGCACCCCAGCAGCGCCAGGTGTGCGGAGCAGTCCGAACGACGAGTGGGGATCCACCGGACAGCGATGTCAGGGACAGAGACACGCAAGACAGCCACACCGGGGGTGAGGGCCTGCCGGACAGCGGTGTCAGGGGCGAAGACACGCAAGACAGCCACACCAGAGGTGAGGGCCTGCCGGACAGCGGTGTCAGGGGCGGCCACACGCAAGACAGCCACACCAGGGATAAGCGTCTGCCGGACAGCGGTGTTAGGTATGGGGACCTCCCAGACAGCCACGATCCGGGCGGGGTAGCGGAAGATGCAGCTGGGTAAGCAGTGACAGACACTTCCCGCCGATGACAAGCAATTTTTTATTAAAACGCCATTTCCTTCCCACAAACTTAGCAAGAGATTCCGTGAAATTGAATTGGTGTGGACAGGTCTGGGCTCCTGCCTCCACACAAGTACAGTCATCAATCAAAAGCAAGGCTAATGTGCATGACACCTCCAGTTAATTAGTCGGCACTTTTTACTCTCACTGATGAACAGAGGACGGCAATACGGAAACTCTAACAAATACGAAAAACTCATTAAGTGCGCTCGAGTCAGTATTCTTAACAGCACTAGCATGGAAGAGAACTTCCTGTCCAGCAACGCCTATATAATATGTTATATGATGGCATATGATGTACACACACACACACACACACACATATATATATATATATATATATATATATATATATATATATATATATATATACATATATATATATATACACTTAAATAGTCATATACTCACAAACCCTCACACATATATATAGGGTCGTCTTGTTAAACCTACATTGTTCGTGATTTGCACCCGACCAGCTGATCCACGGCCGGACTCTGTATTTTTCAGAAGTAAACGAATTTTGCCACGTTTTTTCATGACCTACCACCGTCATGCCTACCGCCGTCCAATATTCCCTGTTTGAAATGTTGCGGACTTGGTGACAAGCCTCGCATAGCATTCCATAAGAAGTGATGTTCATCTGATACCTCATGGACTTTTTAAATTGATAGTATGCCTAGCACGTGAACAGTTATGGGACACTGAATATTATCTAACGGCACCGTTTACGCCATGAATGCTTGCCTCGACATACTCCTCTGCCATCTCGGAATGCTGGTGGACGACTGGCGTTCTCACGGCCGGTGCTGGCACCAGCTGTGACACTGGATTCCACTGCCCCGACGTCCTTTCTGCTCCATCTGTGGGCACTGCCATGCATTTTTGTTCTGAATCATTCCCTAATCGTCCATTGGAAATGTGCGGATGCCCTACTGAGAGAATGTATCGTATTAAAATGGCTCGCGTGCATGTGAATTATAGAACATTCATCACTTCATTACACACTTGACAACCAGACAGGTTTGCGCGAAACAGTGGATGCGGTCGAGATAAATACATGTAGTATTGTATGGCAGCTGTGCTGCTCTAACTTCAGTGAGTACGTGTGAGCTCCTGCGGATTTCCAGCAAACCGGGCCACTAGCATTCGGGTGCGACGCAAGATACTACGACACTCATCAGCAAACCAGGGGTGATACACGTACATATATCGCAGATGAAAGTCACTGACGCAGCAACAAAGCTTCAATGTAAGTGAATGCTGCAAGCAAACATGCCGATGAGTATTTACCCTGTGGCGTTCTGGATGAGACACCTGTATCAATGTCTGTCCTGGTTATTACCTCACCTTTCTCTACCAGGATTAGTTCGTCTTTAACCGCCAGCAGCCCCACCTGTCCATCACACCTTCCAATATATGCCCAACACACATTGAAGCAGCCAAGCCTGTTCATCTTATGCTTCTTTACACTTCTATATCTTATCCTCCAGTCACGTCCGTTTATTCTACCTTCCAGCAGTCACACCTGTGTATCCTACCTACCAGCAGTCACACCTGTGCATCCTACCTACCAGCAGCCACACCTGTGTATGCTACCCACCAGCAGTCACACCTGTGTATCATACCCACCAGCAGTCACACCTGTGTATCCAACCCACCAGCAGTCACACCTGCGTATCCTACCCACCAGCAGTCACACCTGTGTATCCCACCCACCAGCAGTCACACCTGCGTATCCTACCCACCAGCAGTCACACCTGCGTATCCTACCCACCAGCAGTCACACCTGTGTATCCCACCAACCAGCAGTCACACCTGCGTATCCTACCCACCAGCAGTCACACCTGTGTATCCTACCCACCAGCAGTCACACCTGTGCATCCTACCCTTCAACAGTCGCACCTGTTCGCTCCTTGCGAGCCGCCGCCATGGTGTCGTGACCATGGTGCCGACTGGAGAGGTTCGGAGCACGTAAAGCTGGAGGCGGAGCGCCGGTCGTCCTGGCCCGATCTGGAGCCGCTGAGCTGGCGTCTGGACAGCTCTCCAGCCGCGACTTCTTCTTGGTCGCCAGCAGCTTGGCAGGCGCAAATTTCCGCCTACGACGCGCCTGCTGAATTGTCCGCAAAGGCGAACGACTCTGAAACGTTGAAAAAATCGTGGACAACCGTGAAATCACGTTTTGTGGCATGTACGGCATATGTATCTGGTTTTGTGTTGATAGATGATGATCGTCCATAGTGCTTTATTTCTCAGGGTGGTGGCAAAGGCCGGGCAGAACGGAGGGCGTGCCACCTTATAGCAAATTAGTGATATAGATAAATACCTGCGGTAAATTTTCCGTTTGAATACGGACCAAAGCTACTGACACTAACGTAAGCTGCTCAGAGATAAAATATTGGGCAGCCGTATGCTAAATGGCATGCCACTAGCTTCCCTGTCGGTGATGAACGTACATTGTCAACCAGATCCCAGAACAAGCGAAGAACGTGATGCGTAGGCTGCTGCCACAGAAAGCCACACCTAGCTCGTAAAAAAGCACATGAAGGTGTGGAAAATTGTGCAGATAGCTAGTAGTGCACGGAAGCCCTAATACGATTACGCATCCTGGCGCGATGGACTCCTATCAATCGGAGTCCAGCTCATGGTCTCATTCAGTCCTCGTAGAGTTTCGGTCCTGCCTCCATCCTCCATGCGGAGGAATCGGCAAGTCAAATGTACTGCTTTTTCAGGTGTTGCGAAACAGCGGCAGGAAGTAAACCACAGCTTTCGGAAACCGGCCCAGCACCGTGCCTCGATGTATTGCCGTACGTTGCATGCTGTGTTTCGTCAAACAAGATTATCATTACCTTACAAGTGTTAACGATTAGATAAATGCATCTAAATTGTCTGGGTTTCAGTAACATTTTGAGCATTAATAGCTGGCATCCTCACATTCCTGCAACGACTTCCAGATATTCAGGCTGCTCACAGTTGTGCGACCTCCAGCCAACAACCCTCAACCCGCATGGGGTGGGCCTACAGTAATGGTGGAGGATGAATGCATTAGTAATAGTCTGAACGAACGCCCACACGGAATGCGCATACGACAGCATGTGCTGGCACCGAAGTACTTTGTCCATCTCAACCAGCTTCAGTTTTGAGTTACAAGACGCGTGTTCCGCCTGCTCTCCCACGCCTCTGCCCTCCCCGCTCCTGGCGCGTCACCCGATGGTGGTCCGGACGCTGGTCATGATAGCCGTTCCTGTGTCAGCAGCCTCAGCGGAACGCTCGTTCTCTGACGGGAGGCTGGCGGAAACGAGCCTCCGCGCGGCCTCGTGTTAGAAACGACTGTCGCACGTGATTTTGCTCCATGCTCATCAGGCACGCGCCTCTACGCTTAAGCCTGATCAGATGTTGCGTGTTCGTCCTCCGACAGCCCCTTAAGCGAGTCGCGGTGTTTGGGGGGCAGCAGTGTGCCACTCTCAGCCGTGTCACAACGTAGCGTGGTCTTTTCGGAGTTTTCCCCAGTTCCAACTAGAAGCGAAATCTGTTCGTGGTTGTTGTCATCATTTAATATTTGCGTGTGCGCCAGTTCGAAAGTTCAGTTTTTGAGTGTCGTGGCGAGTCGCGTGTAATGTTTTTACCCGTACATTGTTAACGTCAGATGGCGATGATGTAGACCGGTGTTGCTATATCATCATGTGACAACTGACAGAGTCGACAGACGTTCCCGACAGGAGTGGACGTGGTTTGATTGTTCCACGCAAGCTCTGTCGGCTGGTAAGCGCTAACAGGCTACTGTATATGGTACCTTCTTTTCTGCTTTCTTCTCGACCCTTATGAGCTGTTTTGATAGAATCAGCGCTGTTAATGGATCAGTTGGGACGCTAGATCTAAACGCACTCGAGATCTGCAATAATTAGCTCGAAGCATCTCGGCAAATGTTTCACCTACACGCCGCAATGACTGACTCATTGACCCTCCTCCCCCTTCCACAGAAAAGGTGGCTGACCTAGATCCGGTGGCACTGGGTTCGAATCCTAGAAACGCTAACTTTTCCCAGTGGTCATTCGGCTGGTGACCAGAGAGACAACCCGTCATGGGGCAACCGTCTCGAAGTATCGCACCGTACGGAAAACATCCCTCCTGGTGTTTGGTGCCGTAAGGTGAAACGACCGCAGGCAAAATTCATCCGTTTAACCGGAATTACAGTATTGAGTGGCCCGTTTAGGTTACAAGGAGTGATCTAAGTTTAACATATAGATAGTCCATAAGTAGCACACAAGTAAAAAACCGAAATCAGTCAGCGTAGTCAGTATCAAAACCAGAATCACCAATGGAAACCATTTGGATAAAAGTACAAAATAGAATACACAAAATGCGACTGAACTGTACGGGTTTCAGAGGTAAGGGCTTGCCTTCAGCGACGTTTGCTCGCATGGCCCGACGGTCCGGCTGCTGAAATTCCAGTTCCAGAAAAGGCAGAACTTTGTGGCAGAAGTTTAGCGTGTCACAATGTTCGGCTCGGTCCGCCCGCTGACCTTGGGCGGCCAATGACCCCGGCCAGCAGGCCATTCAAGTCAGGGGAAATAGGGAGCACCGAAGCTAACCGAACCTTAACACAACCCCCCTGCCAGAGCTGAGTTGAGGCAGGCACTCTAACTCCCTGAGATACAACGGCGGCTAGTCGCTGATTTGACGACCGAATAGATAACCTCACACAAATGTAGCGACCCATTAGTTTGAGAAAACATCGGTTTTGAGGCCCATCGTAAAGTCTTTACCCGCTACCCACCCCCCCCTCCACCCCATGTCAAATTTGGCTACGTCGCCACTGGATCATGGACCGCGTCGGTAAAATTGACAGGGCATTCCGATTCGGGCTTATGCGATATCATCGATTAGGTGGCCTGCACTTTGATTTTCTTCATGCTCCAGCACGATATTTTTGCAGGAAGTGGGGCCTGGTCACCTGCTGGTAACATCATATAGTCGCACATCTTATGCTTTCGGCCATCATCTTATACGGCCGTTATCGGTTACCGCAAATCCTCTCTTCCATGCCGTTCCATGCAAACAGATAATGCTGTTTTAACACGTGCTCGGGCGAGGGTCAAATTGACCCACCCGAAGGTTTTTCCAGAACGGTTTCCGAACAGCGTTTTGCAGCCGCGCCAAATTTTGCATAGCTGTAGACAATTGAATAGCGGGTCGTTTTGCATTACATATTTGTATGTGCCTTGTAAGGTCGCTGATCTATGGCAGGCCAAAGTCAGGCCATGGATTTTGCGAAGTCTATTTCCAGGAAATCGTTTAATCTGATGCAACAACGGAGGGTTAGACGAGACCATACATCTCTGAGATATTTTCTTAGACAACATGACAATTAAATGAGCAAATTCAATTGACATAATGTCAGTTTTGAAGGTCAGACCAAGGTCAAAGCCAATCTGTTTTTGTACTTTAGGGCTTTCTGTATGGGATAGTTTCTGGCGCTCATTTCGAATTTATTGACAACAGGAACCGCATTATACATCTTCCATGTACTTCTCAAAGGTCGGGATAGGTCAATGACCTGAAATGATCCAGGTCAACGTTTGTTTGTTTGTTTTGAAGGACATACTGCCTACAGTAATCTTTGTCGCTTATTCAAAGGCGAAATTCAAAACAGTCTTGTATGATCTTGGTCATAATGACCTTCGAAAGGTCAAACAAGGTCGCTGACCTTATCCGATCATGTGACCCTTTGCTTATAACAGTTATCTAGATTCTGGGGGCACTTTGAGACCAACCTAAATATTGACCCTTTTGACCTTATTTGACCCGAGGGTCATGACCTAGCGACCTCAAACTTTGATCTGAGAGAGTTTAGGTACAGACCAACACACCCTGCAAATGGTTGTTTCTGGCTTTCTTAGTTCCTGAGATCTCAGAGGGTCAAATTGTCCCCCCCCCCCCCCACCCGAGCGAAGGGTATCCGGCCAGCCAGCCGGGCAAGTGTTAATGAATACCGAAACCATGGCTATTTTTACATGCCATCGTTTGGTAGTAATATGCAATCTAGTGGTGTAGTCTCGGTCTGAAGTGTATTTTGAACCAAAATAAGATACCCCACATGGAATAATATGGAAGATAGAATCTTTGGAAACCTTAAACTTTGCCAAATATTTCAAATCTTTGCCAAAGCATTAAACGAGGGCCTATATGATTTTGCAGCATGTGACCAGGCCCTAGCTGTGCACCATATAAGTGTTCCAAGTAAATCGCAGGGACCGGCATATCGCGACAAACTTATATCAGTTGATGCGAGATGTTTGTGAACTCTTTGGGGCGCCTGCTTTTCGATCCAACCACCTGTGGCAGGGTGGGTTCGAGTCGTTTTAGGCGCTTTCCATTTGCCTTCGCCCGGAATGGCCTGCGGCTGGCGGCAGCGGCCGCTCTAAAAGTCACGTGACCAGAGAGCAGGAGTGAACGTGCCAGGCACCGCGGCATGTTAAGCTTTCGGTTCCAAATTCTGTTGTTGGCCCGGAACTTCACGATCGGCTGGTGAGGTCAGGTCTCATGAAACAAACACTGTTAATTCTGCCGTCGATCCGGAACTTCACGACCCGATGGTGGGGTTCGGTCTCACGCAACAAACGCTGCTGGGATTGGGCTTCGATCTCAGAAATCCATGCACTCAAAACGCTCGGTCTAAATGTTAAAAAAAACACGACGCTTTACAACAAAAGCTTAACCATAATTGTTTCTTAATATTGAGATCGCCGTTCATGACTTCTAAGCTCACTGCATGAACATGTAGAAGGGGGAGTAGCATTACCGTGTTATTAAAAACCAAGACCGGGTGGATAGGAGGTGGAAGATTTCAGGGTTCGGTAAACCCGCGGGTACTTACCCATGCGGAGGTGGTAATGAGTTGGGTTGGTTACATATTCTGGGAGCATTTCGGGCGTGGGTACGGGTAAGGTGGTTACAAAATGTCCGTTTGATACTAAAAGAAATGTTATACAATATTGGTGCTTGCACCTCTCTTAATCAGGATTATCTCCATTCACATCGATTTTGCAGCCATCGACGCAAAACACTTTCGGCGTAAACGTACGTGAAACGTTTCCACATTTTAGAACTAAAATGGTTAAAAAGCATACGGGTGGTTACCAGGTGGGTACAATTGATTAGGAATGGGTACAGTTCCATGGGTAGCGGGTGGCTTGAGCAGAAGAAATCTTACCCGTAAATTCCCCTCATGGAAGGATTTTAGTATCCTTGGCTACAGGATCCGTAGCCACTGTCTTCGTCCTAGATGGGGGACGGCACATCAACAACAGTACCCAGCGTAACCCAAGAATGACCGTTTGTGGAAAATGGCGTTTGGATATTTGAAATGAACTGAACTGAATTGAATGAACTGAGTGATAAGAACCAATGCTGAAGATCTCTTCGGGAGGAAACGGTGTAGAGACGAGGACCCTGCCTCAATTCCCAAACCAGTACTACGCATAAAACCAATATGGCATACTTAGGATCCGTACGGGTTCTGGACGGCCTGCGCTCTTCATGCGTGCCTTGCAGTTGTAATCTGGGATGACCTGAAGCGGAGGCGGTAGGGGAGGCAAAGCGGTTGTAGAGCCAAAGGGTGGGATGGGAAAGGGGCAGTAGCATAGGTTTGGGAGCAAAGGGGGGATTGTTGTCAGCGGGCACCACGGCGCGGCAACTTTCCGAGCACGCTGAGCATTAAAGGCAATAACCAATATTTAAATATATTGAGGCAAGCACCAGATACGACGGAATAAGCTCATTTGTACGTATTGGTATGCTTTGAAGTGCAAAAGACTGCTCTAGACAACAAAATTTCACTATTAGGTGAATACACTATTCATACGCCATCGCATGATTGTGTCATGGAAAGGTGGTTTCACGTCAGAGTGGCTGCCGAACTGGACCGAAATTACCTCCATAGCGGACGGGCTGATTCACTTGTAGTTATTTAAGCTGTCGAGAGGTGTCGTGCTAATCGGTGCGCTGTCTGCAGAACCCAACTGTCCTGTTGTGTGCGTGTGTTTTCACCTTTTCTCATGGCGCTCTGCATAGTTGTGCGTGATTTACATTCTTTGCTTGCATTCACATACTCGGTTATGGCGCTATTTTAAGTTATTCAGTTTTCATTTATTATCATTCCAAATGCTCCTTCCCTTTATTTCCGTCATAACTCGTGCCACTGCCAAAATTCCTGTATGATGCAGCACAAACCGTGATTCGTTTTCGAGAGTTGCACTGAACGCATTACACTGGTTGAGGGCCAGTTTAAGTCCACTGATATTTGTTAATGCCCGAAATCGTGATTATGTACGCCAGACACGAATAGCTCGATAAACAATTACCTTAGCTTGCCCACTACATGTCTAATCAGGTGGCAGTATTGGCGTAGCGCTCCTTTGCTGTCACGCACGCCTGGGTGATCTTGAAATAGTCTGCACGAAGCAGGCCGCATAAATTCGCGGGCGCGGAGCTCAAAAATCAGATGGCTTCAAGTCTTCAAAAGGACAGGGCTGTGAGCTGCACTGAGTGATCTCCAAAATGGCTCTCCCAGTTTATAACCCCATGCAAGTGTAGAATATTTCCTTTAACCCTGTGGCGACACATGATAAGTATGCACTCCGAAAATGGCTTTCGCACCCCCACTTTTTGAAGACATGCCTCCACCTTTGGGCATTAAGACAAAATGACGTGTTTGGTTAAACAGACCCATTTTTGGGTCACTCTGTGATCGACGCTTGACTACTGCATTGCTCACCGTCTCCATACTGAGCCGACACGGCCTGCAGCCGCGCCCAGGTCCGGCCTCGCTGCTCAGCACGCGCTTCCTCTCGCCCCGAGTTGGTCCGGCTCCGCTCTCCATTCAGTCTGTAACGCACAGCCCGCGTCATCCGCCTGGACTGCAAATTACAGTCAGCGTCATCTACTCAGGCTATAACGCCCAGCTGGCGTCATCCATTCAGCCTGCAACGTCTGCCCAGCGTCATTAATTTAGTCGATAACGTCCAGCCAGCGTCACCCATTTGCACCCCAAATTATAGTCAGGGTCATCCATTCAGACTGTAGCGTCCATTCAGTGTCATCCATCCAGCCTGCAACGTCAGGCCAGTGTCATCCATTCAGTGTGTAACGTTCAGCCGCGTCATCCATTCAGTCTGAAAAGCCCAGCCAGCGTCCCCCATTCAGACATACATCTTCAATATCTATATTTGTGCGTGAAAACATTTGAACATAGAACACAAGTGGCAAGGCAATACAACATGCTTATAACTAATCGATCACAGTGACTTCGTGTGCATCGCTGATAAAATGTTAGGTGTCAAACGGACTGAAATCAGGCGTGTGCAGTAACCCCCGGTAGTAGATTATCATAGCCGGGACACCTGTTCACAATACTAATTATTACTGCTTAAATTGACGCTGAAATACACGGCTATCTCCCAAATGCAGGTACCACTTTCAAATGGTCGCTTTATCGGGCCAGGTACCCGACAGCGGTGTCAATCTATCAACAAGATTGTTGTCTTTCAGAGGTGAGGCCAAGGAAGTTCACGCAACGGTGGTATCGTTGCATTAAAACAAGATCAATAGTTGCGACGATATGTCAGAGCGATTACTCCGAGGTAATTACCATATTCGCAACCGATGTAATTGCTCTATTCGTACGCTGCACCACATTCTTCGGATTTCGCGAAGCGGTTCCGAAATGCGTATGGCAAAAGCCACTGATACATCATATCAGAAGTCAGGCGGGATGCTTCATAAACTTTAATTTTACTAAATCAACAACACCTGCATGTACGCGAAACTGTCACATTCCTGTGGCACCTTGTCAGCTGCACCTTGATGTTTCTTCATGCTATCAGTCAATCATGCTGAAAATGTAAAACATCCACAATCAAGCGTACAATAACATTATCATATGTTGTGGTTGGAAAGTTTTTAGACTTCATTTTATTTGACCAGAATGAGTTGTATTAGTACTTTTCACCCTAGGCTTTTCTTAGGATGAGCAATGCTCAAGTCTGTGCCTTGAACCCATTGCCCAGCAGTCAAATTTCATCCCAGCGAATATCTTTGCCTCCAGCTTTGACGTCAGGCAAGCCTACATCACGGCTGCCCCGGGTCAGTGTAACCCTCCTGACTACGCTCGAGCTGGCCACGATGTACTGATTGGGCCAACCAGTTTGCTTTCTCCGGGATTCCGAGCTGCAGCGACGGGACGAAAGCCCTCGATTTTATACCCCATACCACGTGGTTGGCAACCTGGTACTGAAGCCGTTCCTGCAGCAAATGCCTATGAATGTCTGCATGTAGCCAAATACTGCGGAAGTTTTGATCTTCCGCAATCCATACTTATATATCGAATATAATTTTGCTAAAAGCATGCGTGAGGAACGGGATAGTGGCGGCCTCCGGCTGTGTTAGGGCAATTTGGTGCCCACAACCACCGCTGGTGCTCTGGTGACGTTGGCCTCAAGACGTACCTCTTAAGTGGCTGATTATAGTGGCATCTGCTGTAAGTTCCTTTTCATGATCGTCTGTTTAGACGGTTCGGAAACGCCATTCACATCTGGCACCGCCGGACAGGTGGCGCCAACAAAATCCGTGACTGTTATTGGGTACACTATGTTTATCTGGAACGAGCATAGTTCAAACGACTGATGGTGTTTTCTTCCTGGTGTTATCACTATTCAAAGTGGGACGGGATTAGCGTACTTTCTTGTAATGCGGCATACATACACACATATATCAGGGGGCCGATCATCAAAGCATTCCTTGCGTTGTGCATTGCTTACATTACAGGGAGTCTTCCATATTTAAAGATGTTAAAGCAAGCACAAGATGGGATAAAATAAGTCCACTTATAACTGTTGACTGTCCTTTTAGGGAAAAATACACTACGCACTCACAGTTGCTCCCGTCAGCGAACATTCATGCACTAATCTTATCGAGGATGCTTCATCTCAGTGGCCCTATCGAATACGATCAGAGCAGGTCAGGTGAGTGTGTGACCCATCGTCCGCTCGGTGTCAGCGAGAATAGCTTAATCACCGGACGTTTGGCTTTCCTGTAGAAATTTACAAACAGGCCTGTCCGCCATCAGTTGTTCTCAAGAGCAAGCAAGAGCACGGATTCGACCTCGTTTGACACGACAATAGAATTGCACAAGATCAGCTGAGAAGAGTGGCATGCTGGACAATTTTATAATACGCTAAGTGCCACCATTCGGATTTTGAAACTATGCTGCAGCACACCAGTTGTTGAATTGACAGAGGGCTAGCTGTCGGCGGGCTGTACCCGGTGGCACCACGGCCGAAGCGGGGAAAGATGGAGTTGCCATACATACTGAAAAAATATAAAATATAAAAGGCTGGGAAAGGTCTTAGGCACCTCGAAGATAATCATAGAGTCAGCTGCGTCAGCAACATTACGATGTGATGTTGCGTGAAACGCCTTCTGGCAGCGCCACTATCGCCATGCGGGCCTTGTTTTTGTTCTGCTCCACCGGCACTTATCCAGGCAATATGTCCCAATATGGGACGTCCATGTATTACGGTAGGCGTCTTTTGCATTTTCAACCTCCCGCTGGTTATGCTCTGGTTACACTACGAAAAAAATAACATTGATTGCGCTGGCCAGTATATAATGAGACAGACAGGGTTTAGAACATAAAGCCTCCTGCTGTATATACATATATATATATATATATATATATATATATATATATATATATATATATAATGTTCCCAAATGACTTGTAATTACACCTGAGCGTCAAGCTGTGCTGTTTCAAATCCACTCCGACCTTGTTACTCTTCAGTTACGCTCCATGCAACCTCCACCCCCCCCCCCCCGCCCCTCACTGCGTGCGTAGCGTAATTCATGAACGGTCCCTCACCAGATGACCGACTTCAGGATCGGTGGCTTTGGTGCAATTGATCATGCTTTAATACCAGGATCAATAACCGGGAGGACATGACAACCTGGCGCAGTGGGCAAAAGAAAACGCGACATCACCTAAATGCGGACCTGACTGGTCCTAAACCTTCTGGCAGCCATGGTGTTGTAGAAGAGCAGAAATGCTCACCTGAAATGTCAGATACCGCACCCAGGCACTGATCACTGATCACTGTCGAATGCCGGTCGGTGTGCCTCATTGAAACTGGCGCCGCTGGGCTGGCCGGCACACACACCCTCTCACGCGTCACCCGTTCACGTCTGCCACAGTCCCGGCAGACCCCGGCGATCCTGTGACGTCACAGTGCCGCGGGCGGGTGGAGATGGCCGGCGGTATGGCGCCTGCCATGTTACCATTCTGCTTGCGGTTAGCTGGGCTCTCACATCACTCACAGGAGAGAAAAGGCGCGGTAACAGGGGCAATGGAGGAGAAGGGGGAGCCCGTCCTCCGAACAGTTTGCCTAGTTTGCCTACAAACTGTTGTGAACTCACCGGAGGTGGTGGCCTGCAAAAAGAATTCCTCCCCCCCCCTCCCTCCCTCTGTCAAGAGTCTTGCCCCTGCTCATCAACAATCCGGACTGGAGAGGCGATGCACGTTCACGATGCTTTTCCATGGAGCGACGGGCACAGTGTTCTAGCTCCCGAAGATCTCTGGCAGGCCATCCTTGTCTGGAGGCCCATAAATCAAAAGTAATCGAAAAAGTACAACGCTGTATGCATGTTTACACGTATACATATATACATATATATATATATATATATATATATATATATATATATATATATATATATACATAAGGGGCGGATCAGGGGTTCCTTCAAAGGAGGGGGGACGTTTTGTTGTGATGCCCCCTGGAATTCGGTGTTCATTGATAATAAAGAACTGGTGTCCATAGTGGTGCCACTGGACTTCGGTGCATCTCGGAAATTAATATTCGGCACCCCCCTCTAGGCTGCCCCACAATTTGGTGCCTGTTCAGATAAAAGGTTATGTGGACCCGAAACGAGAATTTTGGTGCCCCTTCGGCCACAGGGATACATTATAGCTGAACGCACAATATCACCCCAATATTTGTACAATTCTGTAAATTTGTGTTGACGAGCATTTTGAAATGGCAGAGAATCAAAATAAGCATAAATGACACAATTGCGACCCAATACCACGTGTGGCTTCTTGGCTGTCGGGACAATCAGTGTGCGATTTTTGAATTTCTGGGGGCAAAAGTGGATGACTTGTTATAATGGATCTCGTAATTGTGTTTTCAAGACTGACATGCTGATCCAGTCTTGTCACGATCTCACAGACAAACAATGCCGCAACTCACCGTGAAATTGTTAAAATTGCACACGCCTACACATTTTTTTATTTTCAATGGAACACAGCGTCGTTAACCTGACCCTGAAACACGAATGTTTATTTGCAGTAATCATTCCTACTACAGAATATCCTCCAGCTGCGGAAGACTGAGACAGCAGTGTGCTGCCGCGGTACCGGTGCGGCTTAAGTTACTACCGATGAGACGGCACTGTGCTGCCGCGGTACCGGCGCGGCTTAAGCTACTACCGATGAACACAGAGTTGGAGTACAAGAAATGTCAACCGACAGCATGTGGTGATCTCTTCAACTTTCACCGTAATTGTGCTCGAACTTTCTAACCTGCAGTCAAGGGCGTGTAAGCGTGGGATGCGGTGAATCATGTTTTCTTACTTTTCTGCAAAGGTAGGAACTTGTGCCATTTCAGCTCAGTTTAGCACAGTTGCTTATATAAAGCACACAGTTGTGATGCAGTATATCACATCCTCAAATACCCCCAGGCTGTTCATGAGCCTAAGCCAAGATTAAGGATAGGAAAGCGATGGACATGGCAAAACAAACTCACATATCTCACCATTCAGCCAACTCATAATTCACAGAACAGCACACAAAGGTACACTGAGCTCAGCTGATCACCTCGGAGTAGATGATGAATTGGGCATGCCTTGAAGCGTGACACGAGCCTGGTGGTGTGTTTATTTGGTCTCGACCTAATCTGCCCTCGAATCCGGATTTCCCTCGGATTTCGGCCACTTTGATTTGCGTCCCTGATGCCAAAGTAAAAAATTACATATATTCGGTAGATTCCAAAATTGTTTTGATGTTGACAAATGACTTCTCTTTTCAAGTCGACGTGATAGGGAAATGATGGTATATGACGATGATGATATAGATAGTGCTGTGTTTAGGACGGCCTGTATCATAACTTCAGACATCTGCTGCATTTCATTGGCCCAGTATTCCCTTTTTGCCCAAATGCGTCTGAGGTAGGGACTGAGAAGAGTTCGGAGGGACCTGATTCAGTGTGAGGCAGGCTCTTCAAAAGCATACAAAGTGACAACCCTGGATGAGCGCTCTCCTTTGCGCTGGCCTTTTTCTGATTTCTTACCTCATTTTGATCCGCCCTTTTGATCGCCTAACGAAGCCCCTTACCTTTCTTCAGGTAAGGAATCTGGTGGGTAGGGCACATGAAATCTCCCGGCCAGGGGCTGAATGTTCGTTCCGTCCCAGCCCGGGTTGCCTACCGGCTGCCTTGCGGGCGATAGGGGGCGGGGCCCTCTGGTCGATTCGGGGGCCATTAGAAGGATCAATCATACATTGGTTACCTGCCTGACGCCGAAGGTCCCCTGACACGGGCAGCTGGACCCAGACCGACACAAGGACCCTCACTGACGCAAAACATATTCCTTATCGACGCAGGTGTCCATAAATCGACGCAGAGACTCAAATTCAGCTTACCGGACCATGAACTGCAGTGGGATTGAGAGCTCCTCGTTCTGTAATGGAACCCCTGATTGACGCATGGCTTTCCATTGTCCCACCATGGACACATATTGAAAACTTTGTAAATTATAATGTCCACATTTATTGTCAGAGGGCCCAGACCAACGCAAGAGACCCTCTAGCATTCGGGGCCTGGTTCCTATCCCCGTTCGGCAAATTCTGCCCTGGCCGATCCAGGACCGCTGGCCGCTGGCTCTGTTAGGCCTTGTGGGCCGCTGACCGACGCAGGGGCCTCATTGTTTCAAGGCTCCTGGCCAATGCAAATCGCGGATCCCGGCCTTGCCAGGCTGACACGGAGCCGACTGTTCAGTGTTGGTAGTCTTACCGAAATAGAGGGCCGCATTGTCCGTAGCCAAACAGCGCGCTGCAGGCTGCAACGCAGCACTCGCGTCGGACATGTTCGACACGACTGGCGTTGTTTTTGGTGGTCATTGGCGGACAAGTGCCGTTATCAGTTGAGTCGGCTGGCGTCGATCGTCATGCTTTAGTGACTGTTCCATCGAATATTCACGTCTAATTGGAGGTTAGCACATTGCAAAGGTTCCTTTGAACGCAGCCGGCTAATACCTCGGTCGCTTTTTGGGTGCTAGCATTTGTCCAGTCTGGTGTTCTTTTCTGATAAGGCATCGTGTCATATCGTGCCGAAAGAACCGCACCTTGCTGCGGTCTGTTGAACTATAAATATTGTGTTTTTAATGCCAGAACACTCAGGCAATGGTACAACGCTATACCAGAGTCAACAAGACATATCAATCGTGTGATAAAAATCACGCATTATTCAGAAAAACAGAACATGCTCAAGTAAGTACGGTATGAGCGCGGAGCTCTAAAAGTGTGACCAGCTCAGTCAGCCGCACTCAATTGAGCATAACATCACAGTTTTAATTACTTTGTGCCTTTACATGTGAAGCAATAAGTAAGAGACCTTCTTTAAAACTGATGCAATTTTCATTTTTCATTTGCATTGTCCCGCTTGTAGTTTGCCTCAAGAAGGTTGGCGAGTCAATCTCACTGTGGGGAGGCGCCAAATTGGGTATTGGGGGGGGGGGGGGGGGCACGGCCCATCCAAAATAATACAAATCGACACACGTGCACGAAAGTGACATGTGGCATCTAAATGTATAGACATGAACTCATCGGTGGGGATCCTGTGGAGGTCGTGGGGGTCCGGATCTCTCTCCCAGGCTTCGGGAAAACAGATATCTGGGGTTCGGGGGTCCAAGGGCTCTTTTGGGAGGGTTCCATTCGGCTCACGCGGTTCGAGGAAAAGTGAACGTCCTGGGTGAGAAACACTCGAAGGCGTTTCTTTGGCAGAATCGAAGTCCAGACAGCAACAAACATTTCCCTTTAGATGCTCAGTAGATCCACCTGGCAACTTCGGGCGACTTCGGGCCCCACTGGCCGCTCAGTAGACTCTCTGGCCAACAGGGGCATGCTGCCTTTAAATATGCTTAGAACCCTCTAGTCTTTTAAAGTCCCTTCAGAACACCAAAGGGATATCGGGGTTACCCAAGGGCTCAGGGGCCGTAGTGCCTGCTCAAGGTCCTGTGTGTTAAAGGTCCATCTGGCCTCTCACGGGCCGTTTTAGTTGCTCAGGGCCTTGTGGACCACTGAGGGACCAATAACCAAGGGGCTCAATTTGATCAAGCTTCCCTGCAAAGGCCTCCGGATCGACCATAGGTCCCGACCCACGTATCGTCAGAATGGTAGCCAGTAGGCAACCCGAAATGGGACGGAAAGGCCCTGCAGCCCGCAGCCGAGAAATGTACTGGATTCCCTAGTCTTGGCTAAAGCCCTTTATTGGAGTCTGGCTGTGGGGAAGGGGCCTAGCGACCCCACAGGATGGCTCTGCTCGGCTCTCGTAGTGCGAATGATGATGGTTGGGGTAGAGGATCGTTCTTTGGCTCGGTTGGCAGGGTGACACCTGCTCGGTGTGTTGTTGCAGATTTGGTAATCTCTCCCATACGCACCTAGGTATAAAGTGCGCATTACGGACATCCGACTACCAACTGCACACGATCACGCTGGAACTGTATTAGAAGCGTCAAATAAATAGCAACTACTTCACCAGTGTTAAGTTTGATTGCATTACGAAATACTGGCTCCAAAAATCATGTTTACTGATGAAACAACTTAAAAATATGTTGAAAAATATACACCAACTGAAATGAGAGAAGTACAAGCCATACTAAATGCATACATGAGAGATACAAATGCATTGTTTTCACGTTTAAGCTAATTTAGATTAGTTTCCTCACATCAGACTTTTTAGATGAGTTGTATTTTAAGTGCACCCTTAATCACATGTCAGCGCATGCTGCCGAAAACGCGTGATAATGAAAAACTGCACCTAAGCCGGCCGCGTCATTTTGTTGTTTCCAGTGCTATAAAGCTATGAAAGCTCGCTCATTGGCTATAGGGCCAAACCATTGACATCTTGACCGCTTGGACGGGTCCATTTCACGACCTTATCCGGCGACTGCACCCAGATGGAGGCAGATGTAGGTCAGTTGGACAGTTGTTCTAGATAGGGCATGTGGTGGGTATAGGGCTGGGATCAGGGGAGATTCCTTCCTGCTCTGCTGTGGGCACATTGGCCATTTACATAGGACTCTGGGGATGAACTTCTTTGTATGTGCGTGGCCAGAGCCACGCGTGGACTTTGTCCCCACCTCTCTAGTCAGGATGCAGCGCAGCTCTTTTTCTCACCACGACGGCTCTGAATATAATTTGGACCAATGTCCCTGCCTGGTGAATCAGTATTTACACAATGTTTCCGCCAGTTGCTTATCCTTCCACCAGCAGCTGTCATGGGGTGTTTATCAGGAGTGGATGATGCTTTGCTTGTAGCCATGCACGCGTCACAGTCCGAATTATTTTTGCCATTGTTGGGATTCGAACCAGGGTCTTCTGATACGATCTGGTGTTCTGCCACCTGAGCCAACCGGAAAGGACTAGTCCACTTATTGCTCTTCCTGGTTAGCCAGCTGGTGGAACCTGTACACTCGATCAGAAGACCCTGGTGCATATCGTAGAATTCCAAGGAGAGAACTTGCGCTAACGTCGCGTGTCACTAATTAAGGGGAGTGTTCTACATTATATATGGTTTTCAACTGAAATAACCATATTGAAGACCGATCGATGCAGTTCACAGCCCTGCTACTCTTAAGACTTATGCCCTTTTAGTTTCTGAGCTACACGCCCGCGAAGATGCGCAGACTATTTCGGGAGACTATTTCAAGGTCATCCAGGCATTCATGACGCCACAGCAATGTCATTCAAATTTTGTCATTCTCTGAGCCGTGCAACGATTGCATAAAAGTAGAAAAAAACAAAGTCAAGAAGCATATAATTGTCGAGTCTTTCATGTTTGGCGTTTGTGAGCACGATTTCCAGATATAACGGCCTCCAATTGGCTTTCAATTTGTGTTGTGCAAGGCACGATGACATAATAAAGCAATGACGTGTTGTGAAGCATATTAATTAATAGGCGAAATTGTGTTCTCTAGAGCAGCCTTTTCCATTTAAAATCGCACCAATAGCTAAAAGTGGGCTTTTTCTACCAGATCTGATGCCTTGCCTTAATAACTTCACGCGTGGAACATTCACTTTAAGCTTCCACCACAAGGGTGCATTTTCGCAAAAACATGTTTAAGGGTAGCTGAGAGGGAAAATGCCTAATCCTTCTCCTAAAATACACCGAAAACAGGGCAATCCACGGATTTGATGCACTTTCCTCTCAAAGTTAACAAGCTGAAATATCCCAAACTGAAAAGAAAACCGCATCCCTGCTCCAATACGTTTCCTCTTCCTGTCTCCACGGAGGGTGTCGTCGGGCATCATTGCAAGTTTGCTGGGCGTCGCTGGTCGAAACCAGGTTTCGGCAATTGACGCATGGTTGATGTTATGGGACTTGAGGCGTCATTAGGCGTGTGCGGCCTCGGGAATAGCGGCTACAAGTTGGTGTCTGCGATTATGAAAGGCTGCCAGGGAAACTCCTAGTCGGTAACCACAAGGTGGCTTGCAGGGCTGCAATGCAGCACACAACGCCAGGCATGTTCTTTGCATGTACAAGTTGTGTACAGGTTTAAAAGCACCATCAATGGCTCTCGCTAGCGGAGCGACATCAGACAGACAGGCCGACGGCCGACAAAACACCGCCTCCGAAAACATCCCCATGTGTGCGAAATGGACTTGTCCAAGCGATCATGACATAGTGGTTGAGCCGTACAGCCAGTGAGCAAGCTCTCAGTTTTCTACTGGAAAAGATGATGTACGCCGGTCGCTTAGGAAAGGCCTGTTGGAGCTATCAACAACTCGCCGAAGAACGACCAGGGGATGCTGTGCATGGGCTTCGCCATAAGTCGGGGTTTCACAGACCTTGTGCACGGTGATGACGTCACTGGTACCGTGACTTCAACACGGCGCGGTCGCCAGCTGTGGGGCGTAACGCGGCGGGGCAGCCGGAACACCGGAAATCCTCGTACAGATAGGGAACAAACTGTTAGCGGGATGTGCATATGTCCAACGAGCCGATTACCAAGAATCTAATGGTGAATGTGTTGATGCGTTTTGCAACCTCATTCCGCTAACCATGTGATTCAACGCAAAAGCATCGGAACTGTAAACGTACACACGGTGATTATAAGAGATTGGATGGTTGAAACATCGGGTTCTCTTAGCATCGATAATGAACAAACTTCTAGCCGCATGCGCATATGGTCAACGGGACAATCCCGTGTAATTTGACGCGGAATATGATGACGTGTTTTGCAAGCTTGTGCGGCCACTCATTACAACGACATCGGCGTGGAAATTGAAAACCCTTACGAGAAAAATGCTGCAATGATAGAGATGGGATATAGGATATTGAACTGCCTTTGTTCTGATAATGGACAAACTGTTGTGGTAGATGCACATTACCAGAGACCTAATGAATTTCATGGGAGACATGATGATGTGCTACTTACAAGTGTATATACCTAGGAGTTGAAATGTAATCAGCGTAAAAAGCGAAAGCATGCACGCACGGACTGCTGGAGATGTGAAGCCTGAATTTCGCTAACCTTCTAACAGTAACAAGCACATTATTACTGGTACGTGGGCATATACGCGAACCGATCAGGTGGAGTGAAATGGCATGCATGAACAGGTGCTTTGCGAGCTTATATTCAGCGAGGCCGTTACAATTCAGTCGGCGTGGAAAGGGAGCACGCCTACGCAGTGGCATACGCAGTGGGTACTACGGATGGCATGAATCCCCAACTTTCTTAAAATTGAGCATTCACCCAATGGGCCTTGACTGGAAAAAGTAACCCACATGGTCATCGCCCCTCCCCCTCGACCAACTTTGGGGAAGTTTCGTTGCACCTGCGCCGATGGAGCCGGTTAACATCCCACGCCGAGCGCCGATCATAAATTCTTCTCTTTTTTGCCTTTCAGTTTTCACTTTACTTATATCCACTTTACTAACAGCTTAGTAGACAGCACAGCGCTACGGGGAGCTGTATTTAACAAGGAGAGCCTTTCTCTTGCTACGAGGCACAAATGTAGCCGTGGTAAGTGGCGCGATGAGCAAGCGGTGTGTCCGAAGCCAAAACGCAGCTAGCTATTAACCAGGCGCACACAGGCGCGCGTGTTGTCCATTGTCTGTTTGGACGTGCTGTTCATGGTCTGTTTGGACGTGTTGTCCATGGTCTGTCTGGACGTGCTGTCCATCGTCTGTTTGGACGTGCTGTCCATGGTCTGTTTGGACGTGCTCTTCAGGGTCTGTTTCGACGTGCTGTCCATGGTCTGTTTCGACGTGTTGTCCGTGGTCTGTTTGGACGTGCTGTCCATGGTCTGTTTGGACGTGCTGTCCATCGTCTGTTTGGACGTGCTGTCCATCGATTTTGTCCATGTTTCGTTACTAATTGGACGTGCTGTCAAAGCAAACTATGCTAAGGGCGAAGTAAGTATAGGTATTGGAGCGCACTGACACTCGTATGAAACACACAGAGATTCATCAGTTGTATATTTAGCGTTGTTTGGAAAAAGAAACTTATCACAGATACATATCGTGCTCTGCACCCCGGTTCGGCTATCCATAATTGGACTCACATGCCACTTTGACGTTAAACATTGCAACGCACATAAACGTCTCAAGAGCACAGCGTGCGCGGCTCAACAATCGCGCTGACTTAGCAGACAGGTACAGACTGAGCACGGCCTCCCCGTAGAGAGTCGTAGACCGAGCACGAGGTAATACAGATAGGCACGGACCGAGCACGGCCTCCCCGCCGATGGCCACAGGCCGAGCACGAGGGAATACAGATAGGCACGGACCGAGCACGGCTTCCCCGTAGACAGGAACAAACCGGGCACGGGGGAATGTACGTAGGCACGGAGTGAGCGTAGCGCATCTGTGCATCCAGCGCAAAAAATAGCTGCATCGAAACAACAGGCTGACCCCGCCCGCCACTCACAAGCCATCACCGGCTGCGGCACGAACACGGAGTGCGAGGCCGTGTAAAATCGAATCGGCTTTGCGCTTAACGGGAGTGTCTCACCTTTGGAGACATGTTTAGAAAACATACTGTGGTGAAACCTCGCGAATATTTACATCTAATGATGTCGCTAGGTTGTGCCGTTGTCGCACTGTCAATACAAAATCAGGATATAAATTCAAACAAGACTGAATTACGCTGTCAACGCCTTGCAACAGCACCATGCTTCTCTCCTGCAGTCGCGACCACCGTTGTCATGAGAACAACCGTGCGCACCTCTACTGGTGCGAACAGAAGAACGTTTTAGCCAATGGGCAAGGGCTTGTCACCGAAAAACGCACTGGTTGAAGTTCGAACCAGCGCGTGGCATGGACTATGTGGTGCGCTCATTCCCAAAGCCAAAGTGCGCCTCGAAAAAGCCACTGTGGTAAGCGCCATAGGGGAAAAATCCGTATAGCGTTTCATTGAATTCACCGAATGATAGCTTTATGCTTGCATGTCTTTTTGTCGTAACACCATTTCAAGCTTTCGCAGCATTTATTGTGCAGTTTTTTAGGACATAGGACACGTGTTGCAAACATCACGGAACACACACGTTGGAAAAAGCAAGGCAACTGAAATGTTTCACTTTCGCAACAGTGAGCAGAGAGCCAGAGAGCTTTCTCTCGTAGGGTCAACGGCTTCAAACCGAAATTCTGAGCTATTCAGAAGGATTTCTAGAGAACTGACATATCTGATCAAATCGTACGGGCCTGATGAAACAATGAGTGAGAAGTAGGGGGAGGCGGCGTATTTCCTTGGAGGGTTTCACTCACGTATATTATAGTTGTCGCTAAATTGTACGCAATCGGCCCGCTGGTAATATACATTGCTATTAATGGTTTGGTCGGTATCGGTACGAACAGAAAGACAATTATACCTGGCATCCTGTGAGGAAGAAGTCTCCTCAGTTTTCACTTTTAAGGTCATTGTATTTTAATGGTTTGTCGGATAGCCTTTCAAAGCACAGCATCCTGTTGGTCATTATAGTGTATGCTAGGGACTGGCTGATCCTATGCTCCTCCCACTAACGGATTTTGCATTATCTGCACAAATGTTGTGATATTCCGGTTGCCTCTCAACATTACACGCGGCGCCTGGCGGCCCGCTGCGCCTTGAAGTCTCGTCTCTAGTGACATCACGCTAGCGCTAAGCGGGGACGAAGCGATGCTCTGCGGACGGGTTTATCCCCTCATACAGCCTTGTTATGGAAATACGTCGCCTTCCTCGTAATCTTGTTACTGGGGATGCCGGGGGCGCTGACGAGTGTTATCTGGGCTGATACAAAATCGCACAGTAGCTGGTGAGCAGGCCTTGTGAGGTGAGCCCGGTGAGCCCATTTGTTTCTCTTCTTATCTTATTCCGGCAATTAATCACCCGACTGAAAAGGGGTGACACAGGACATCATGTAGATGTGGCAGATCCTCTGGTTGTGTGGTGTTATCCATAAGCATAAAGCGCTGGAAAAGGGACATCTGTTTCAGCTCTAATTGAGCTATACGTTATATGTACCAAACGAAAAGGCTGAAGACAAGATGGTCATGGGTGTGGTTGTTTGCCACTTCAAAGTGCTAAAGTATCTGTGTTTGGTTTTTGAAGATTTTCTGGGTTTGATTATGTGAAAACTTCTGGGTTTAATTATGTGAAAACTTTTCATTGAAAATGGGTAGTATTGTTGGCAACCAGACCTATGTGTAATGATTCTGTGTCAAAACTGCTCCTATCATGCTTCTGTAACCATTGCCGAAATCCCCCTCCCCATCTATGCATAACAATACATGGACTAGCATTTATTTTGCTATTGTGATACCTGTCAATTTGTGGTTTGGTCCATCAAAGGCAAAGTTTGAAAGTAAAAGATAATGTGCAGGCCTCATGGACTTATCCGAACATTTTGGGGGTGATGAGGGTAAGATTATTCTCACCAGGCTCAGCAAGTCCATTGTAGATTCCCACCAAACATCCAAGAGGTTAGCATTGCTGTAATGGCTCCATAGGTAACTACTTAAATAGTATTGCCTGCTTTAAGAAATATTTTAGTATATTTTATCTGCATCACTGTGTCACAGCTATTGAGATCCCAGCTTTCTGGTGGTTTACACCCCAAGCCTGTAATTTTGTATGCTTATGAACATTCCTGCTACTTTATAAATGTTATTCACAGTACTGATTGGAGCAAAGATAATCAGCTGTGTGTCAGTCATTATATCTTAGACATTTGAAGCCAGCCAGAAGTAACAGAGCTTGTAGCCTGATTTCATCCAATTGTTTTGAGTTGGTTTCCCTTTCTTCCAAACACAGGTCGACCATACACAGACTCAGTATTATTAGCTACTACCATTCACAAGATTACTTGATTAACATGGTCAAACCAAGCATTCTGAAATTGTATCATAAGATACTGTTTACATTGGAACTGACTTGTATGTTACAGGTAGCCAGAGTAAGACATGAAACTCAATAAACAACCAGGACAGCACATTTTATGCCACAGTGGTGACAAAACCACACACAGATATTGTACAATAAATGAATCAAAAAGCCAGGAACTGGTCACAGTTTTATGGTTAGCTTCAACTGCCTACTGTCAAGGTGACTGGATAATATTTCTATAATTTTGGTCTCTCAGTCTCTGTGGCTCAGTCTTGGTTAGTTGAAGAGAGTTGACTATGAAAAAGTGGTTTATTCAGGTTCTGGACACCTGGATCAGACCTTACCTTTGATCAAATTTCTTTTAAATGACAGAGATTGATTGTACTGAGACCAAAATTACTGGCCACATTAAAGGTGAGAAGCCAACCCTTAACACAGTAACTTGTTACTGGCCTTTTGTTTCCTTTGGTGGGTAAAGCTTGTGTATGAATTTGTCACCATTGCAGGACAAACAAGTGGTGTATGATATCATTAATTAACTGTGATATCTTACCACTACTATTTTTACCATGTGCAAAACAATTAGGGCAGTTGAGGTACCTCTGAACCAAAATGAAAATAAGTTTTTACCATGTGGGTCAGTTTTAACAGAGAGGGCTTATTGTGAAATAATGTTGGAATATATTTGATTTGGGCTTATTATCTCCTGAATCACAATGGCCCTAATGACAAAGCTAGTATGAGCTTGTGTGTGAAATTGTGTTTGGACAAAAAGGGAAAAGCTTACAAACCTTCCATGGTGTGAGGCAGAAAGCTCGTCTTTTTCAAATATTGACCGTACAATCATGGGCATGCAGTTGACCATCATTGCTCATATCACTGTATGCACTTTTATGGCAGGGACCCTCCATATTCAAAGAATGATTTGTGTGCAGGTATTTGTGCATGATGTTAAATATTTGCACAGCATTTGACAACATTAAAACACTCATATCCTTGATCTCCAACCAGTTGTCTTCACAACTCAGGTTTTTCACTGTTTGGATATTTGATTAATAATGCTGGTTGTGCCTTCACAATTGCAAGCCTGATCATACCATCATCCTCACGCACAAATGTGACCCGAGTATGTGTCTGTGTCTACTCTGGCAGCTCCTGTACGGTGTATGAGACGGCTCCTGTCTGGCTGCAGCAGCCTGCCAATGAAACTCCACGTCAAGTGCCGGGGTGGCCTCTACCCGCTCTCAGATGGCGTGCAGCGCGCCGACGTGCCCGAGGACAGGGTGGCCTGGTCGGTCGCGTGGCCCGAGTACGCGCCCGTGGCCTACACCAGCCCAGTGGTGCCAGGCAAGCCGTGGGCCGACCCGGAGCTGAGCGCGGCCGGCTTCCAGCCGCGCTGGAACGCGCTGGACGGCGGCGTCGACCGGCGCAGCCAGCAGGCCGAGTACGCGCTGGACGCGGCCGGCGCGCCGCTGAACCCGGTTGGCCGCACGGGCGTCAGCGGCCGCGGCCTGCTGGGACGGTGGGGGCCGAACCACGCGGCCGACCCGCTGGTCACCCGCTGGCGCCGGGCCGAAGATGGCACGCTCTGGCGGCACCCGAGCAGCGGCCGGCCGCAGCTGCAGCTGGTGACCGTGCAGCGGCGCGACTGCGGCCTATGGGCGCTGCCCGGCGGCATGGTCGACCCCGGCGAGCGCGTCACGGCCGCCGTGCAGCGCGAGTTCCAGGAGGAGGCGCTCAATGCGCTGGAGGCGTCGCCCGAGCGCCGCCGCCAGCTGGCCGAGCTCGTGCGCCAGTTGTTCGCCGGCGGCCGGCGCGTCTACGCCGGCTACGTCGACGACCCGCGCAACACCGACAACGCCTGGATGGAGACGGAGGCGTACAATTTTCACGACGAGACGGGCACTGCGGTGGGCGCGTTCCCGCTGCAGGCCGGCGACGACGCGCGCGCCGTGCGCTGGACGGACGTGTCTGGCGAGACGGAGCTGTACGCCAGCCACTCGGCCATGGTGCAGGCCGTGGCCGAGACGCACGGCGCGCGCTGGTGAGGCGGCCGCCGCCGGGCCTGGCGCCCCTGCCCGTCCGTGAGAGGTCAGCGACTGGCGCGTCAGGTCAGCGACAGGTCAGCGACACTGCACTGGGCCCGGCGATTCCGACGGTGACGTGGACGGTCAGTGTTGGGACCGGTGGCTCCACCCACGCGGCCCTGATTCGCCGTACGTGAGATGTTGTGCGCGCGTTCAACCACATTGCCTTGCTCCGTTGTCCGACATTGCACAGGCTGTGGGCTATTTGATGATTTATAAAGTTGTCTGCCTGCACTGTTCTGCTTTAATGCCTGCTGTGACAGCGTGAAAGGAGTGTGGCACACTCAGTCCTTACGCGGCAGCACGTAATATGGGGTGTTACTTTTGAGAAAAAGGAGGGTTTGGGAGCCTACGGGGTTGATTATCAGATGGCTTCCCTAATTGTTTTCTCAGCGTCGGTTCGCTTTAATTTTTCGTTGGAAGAAATCCATTTTTTCGATGGGCATGACAATTGGCGAGCCACCTGTCAAGCTGGAAAGTTAGTGTAGTTAGCTTTAGGTCTGCAGCCTCTCCAAACGACTAGGATCGTGCACCTGTGTGTGATACCCAACGCTGAGCGGAGGTGTTGGTGACTGCCTCGTGATGTGCCTGCGGTTGTGTGTGTGTAGCTGGGTTCATTATCGCACATCAGGCCCAGTGCAGTGCGCTGTACTGCATTCACTGTCCCGCCGCGCACGGCGCCTGCGTGAGGGGTGGTAGGCTGGCCCATTGTCTCCCTCATTCAGCCAAGTGGCCAAGCGGCCTTATTCTTGCAGCGCTTGTCTGCGCTATTTGACTGTTTAGCACGCCACTGTTGCTGTTTGGCAAGATATGTTTAACGATATGAGCTTATCTGTTCATGATTTTGCGAAAATGTGCACTTGCTGTTGCGCTTGAGTCTTTCCCATGTTTATCCACGGTGTTCCAGCTATGTTTCTTGCGCCTTGCTTAGGGTCAGTTCTACTAATGCTACATTGGTGCCTAATACATGAAAGGGAAGTAGGCGATTGCTGAAATGGTTGTGGTCGGGTGCGTCATATGCAGGCATTTTTTTTCCGTCGCCGAAAGTGATAATTTCCACCGAACCGTCGCTTTTCCGCGAAATGGGCAGCATCGCTGCTAGGCGTCGTTTGTCAAGCTTGGTGTGCTGCGCGTCGCGCATGCTTTGCCATTATATGTCAAGTTTTAATGTAAATGTATCAGTGAGGTTTTATATTACGGGCGAGCATATGCTGCGCGTCTGAGTGACATCCGCTCGTGATGTCGAGCCTTATGCAAGTGGTTCTCCCTTGGGATATGACACGAAATTCCTCCCGCATTGGTTGCATCGCAAAGACAATGATACACGCTGGGTTTATTGATCCCTGTTCACTGCGCACGTGTGAAAACAGATAATTGGATTCGTGATTTACATGTGTCCTTACGGTGATTCCCACTAAAACGGCACGACACTTCGGCCGCTCATTTCCCTACAACCGTTGGCGACCGGAACGGTACGTAATGAGACTTCGGTGCAATTGCATAGTACAACATGGAAACTGGCAAATCCCCTGTGGTTACAGCGGGGAACGCGGCTATTGCGTCCCTTGTTGGTAACCGCTGAGAACATTTAGACCGTGGTTGCACGGTCGACGGGATATGACACGCGAGACGTTTCCTCGCCTCATCAGAGCCGTCAGACCCCAGCGCACACGTCGAAGAGTTCTGAAGGGTTTCGCGGTCCAAGTTTTGGTTTCGTGAACGCGTCCGCAACATCTTGAGGCGCGTCGGCAACGGCTAATTATCACTAACAGCGTTACCGCGCCGCCACTGTCGAGTGATGATGGTACCGCGTGCCGCATGGCACAATGCCGGATGATCGTATTGCATTCTGCATTGGACGGCGGCCGAATCGCAGCATACACAGCATTGTACAAAAGAGCGTACCAAATCACGTCAGCCGGCGCCAGATCACAACGTGACTATCACAAACATGATGATCGGGGAGGGCTGGCAAACCGTGAAACGATCATGATACTGAGCTGTTTCGTGACGCAGCGTCAACAAGACATTTCGGCGCAGGTGGGGTCTCTCGGCGGTGGCGTTCGTCATGCTATTCCATCACACGGCGTTTGGGGCATGCGCAGGCAGTTCCCGGAGCCCAGCAACGCAGGCTACGCTGGATTACGACACGTGCTCCGGGTTATTGGCCTGCGCCTGTCAAGCGTACAGCTCTTCCCGCCGATTGCCGCGCTGGCTGCCACCGGCCGTGGGCCTGGCCCGTCGCCCAGAGGGCGCTGGCTCCGCGCACGCTGCGCCCGTCGCGCTGGCGCTACGCGCAGGGCGAGGTGGGTGCCTGGTGTGCGGGGTGCGCTGGCTCCCGCCCACCGCACAGACTCGGCCGTGATGACTCTTAAGGGCCCCCGCCGTTCCTTCTGTACCGGTGTGCCGCACTGTCTGTGCTGTGTACTGGTGTTCTTGGCGAGGGTCGTCAGAGGCGATCCGACTGTGCGCACGAGATGCTGCTTTCTTTCTCGTGGCTTCCCCTCGGTTACGCATCTCTGGGGCATAACGGACGATCTCAGGAGCTCCTTGCGATCACGAGACGATTTTCCCTGTGCTCGGCCGTAGACCGCGACGCACCTTCAAAAAATATCGTTGCAGTCATGTTTGGAGCTGACTGACCGCCAACGATCAAGGCTGTGGAGCTCCAAGAAGTGCAAGTCTGGCTGGTGTATTCAATTGCATCGCATCTGGCACGGATTGACACTGCTAAATCATATCGTCCATGGATAGAAAGTGATATCCCATCTCTTATGACGTTTCGTACCGTCCGTAAACAATTCGTTTGTCGTTCGTCAGAATAAACGTGGTTTGTCACATGTCAACGGTAACAGACAAGCCTACTAGTATAGTTGCAATACATTTGGTTGTGTTGGGCATAGTGTTACCTCTCGGTGTTGTCGTTGTCCATCGGTACCGTGAGGAACATATCGGCATCGTCATGATGGCAGTCAGGTGATGGTTCTGGGTCAAAGTCCTCTTCGGCAGGTGCTGCCCTTGATGGATACTCCTCACCGCTCCCTCATCCTCTGAGCTGTATTCGGCGTCACTGTAAACATTGCCTTGTGCAGTGTGGAGGACAATGCAAGGTCATGGATAATCCTTTCCACCGAAGACCAGGACAACGACCAAGCTCATGAACATGGCCCCATGCAAGCGCACATAATCAATGCAGTCAAAGCACCCTTAAAAATCAATAATTAACATAAACCTATGCAACGCAAATGGATACACCCATTACAGGCACATCACACACGAAATGTTGGGTTAATATAACCCACCACGTAGAAGTCACCATGACGTGGCACGGAAATGCCTACCATTACGCCCGGGTACAGTATACCCGGCATGCCTCCACTTCAGCTGATGTGCCAAAAGTTAAAGTTTTACGGCAATGGATATTCATACCATACTGCACGTCAGCATCAGAGCTTTTCTGATCTTGACATTTCCTGATAAATTAAATTTATCAAGTTCCGGATCAAAGTGACTCCCTGTTGATAACCGGACAGACTGACGTCTTAAGTCGCTGTAAGTATTATAACTAGATGCTGCACAAGGCTGTTGAATATTCTAGATACCTGCCACATCGGTGTCGCGGCGTCCATAATTCCGTGTTGGCATTCGCCTCCAACGTTGTTATCGAACTGCAAAATCAAGAAATGGCTGAGGAGAAGCAGCAGTTTGCCTCTAGTGTCATTTATAAACAGCACAACTTGTTGTGCCTCACTGCTTGTGGGCAAAGTTCTGTTAGCGGAATAACGTAATCGTACTTCACAACAGTTCGAACAGCCAAATTTGCATGAAAATAGTAAGCATAATCAAATTGAACATCCCAACATGCGAGAAACACAGGCTAAATTGGACCTACTGATCACAGCATCTAACACCAGCTACAAAGTCTACTATTGCAGCCAAGTTTCGCGCAGGCCCCACCTTGGAGTCGAGAAGCCCGATGACGCCGTCACTGCTTTGACTGGTCCAGCTCCTGCATGCGTCGTTTCGGCATGCGTGTGCACGGTGGACTGAGGTGTTGCAGAAGCGCTGGCTTCCTGGATACAGTACCCGTCCAATGACAAGTTGCTACGAAAAGTACTTAGTTCTTGGCACAGCTCGATGAAGACGAGCAAAGATGATAGTAAAGCTCCAGCTGGAACATGTTACCGAAACATTTCAAAATAGATGGAAACATGTGACTTCCTTGGCATAACACTCAAGCCGTGATCTATGCGTCGTGTGGGGAACGCGCTCTATATGAATCGCTTGAACACAAAAGCTGCGCCTCTATAGACATACGAAAAACCGAAAAGGGCATGCTGAAATTGAGGTTATTAGTACCATGACCAGCACAAGTGTGGCATAAAGCTTGGGTACTTCCAAATGCGTGAAAAACAAGCCAGCAAAGAACACATACCGGCCCAACAGCACTCTAACCGTATCCGCCATCATCAGCTCTGCGTCATCCGCGAACATCTGGGATCTGCCAAAGACATCCACTGGCAGGACTATCCGCCTGGCACGAGCGGACTTATTGTAAGCTGCCTTCCTCCTTTTCTTTTCTGCCTCAAATAATGACAGGGCATAAGTAAAGTGGGACAGCGGCGCAGTGGAGGCGGTGTCGGCGCTCCCAGAGCGGGGGCGACCGTCGGCAGAAGGCGGCGGTGGTGGCGTGCCGCACCGCGGTACCTGAGGAGGGTGGAAGCCTCGGTGGCAGGCGGAGGCGGTGACGTGCCGTACTGCGACACCTAAGGAGGGACGACCGTCGGTGGGAGGCGGCGGCGGCACCTGAGGAGGGACGACCGTCATTGGCAGGTGGCCACCCTCCGTGGGAGGGGGCGACGGTGGCGCCTGAGGACATGTTGGCGGCGGCACGTCGGCAAAAGGTGGTGGCAGCGACGACACGCCATAGTGCGTTGTGGTGACAACAGCAGATGGCTTTACCTGGTGGTATAAAAGTTAAGTCTGGCTTCGCAAGGTGCTGCTGCCAACTAGCACCCACATAAAACCAACATATATTTCCATATTTTGGTGAGGTTTATGCATGTGGACAACACCTAACCACCTGTTTAGGAATTACAGCAGCAATGCTGTCGAGCACAAGTCCTGGAGTTTATCAAAGTCCAAAAGGTGTAGATGTGGGGTCCAATTCTTTACGTTCAAATCCCATCTGTGACTACCTATTCCATGCACAAGTCTGGGAGCAGTCAACACCGACAGCAATGGTGTTCTCATGGGCACTGATGGCATGTTGTTCATATATATATATATATATATATATATATATATATATATATATATATATATATATATATCAGAACAATTCGACTTAAGTTATTTCATTAAAAATTAGTCCCTATCTGGGTGGGCTCAAACTACTTACGAGGTGAATCCTTTTATTGCACCATAAAGGGCATAATACATTACCTCGCCCAGCTTTATCCTGCGGAACCCGTTTTAGGATGGCACCGGTAGGTGTAGCTGCTGTCTCCGATGCACGAAAACGCGTGGCGCTGGCTTCTGTAGATGGCAAAGGTACCGGTTCATGGTCGCAAGCGGGAAGATGCCGGGAAAATGATGGAATTTCATCAGAACAGGCGGAAAAACATTAGCTCTTATTTCAAACAGTGTATCCAATACTTAACGAGTGCAAAAGACGACAGCACGGACGACACACGTACTGCCTCGACGACACATATGTTCCATTAAAACTGCATGGCTCGACAAGATACGTGTGTTAGGATCACAACACAGAAGGCATGCGGAAGCATACGAGCTGGATCCTCATTTAGTCTGTGCACGGCCGCTCTCAGCCGCTGCACTGGCCCCATAACAGTTTATCTCCCAGTGGAGTTGACCTGAATCTGTCTGGATTGCCGGTCGGTCCGGTGAGGCAACCGCTGAGTGAACACCTTGTGTTTTCATGGTTGGCAGTCCCAGTGATCCAGTCCCAGCCTGACCCTGTTCACAACTGCCCGGCCCCTTTCAGAGGCAGGGTTTATTCCTTGCCAGTTGGCAACTTAAACTTCCTAGCATTTGTAAATACTTATTGACTGATCAACAATGGCAATACTGACTGCATCCTTACACAAGCACACATCTCAGTAACAAAACAAATAAATTTAAGTATTTTGATTGTCACATCTAGCTTAATAGCAATTCCTTGGCAATATAACACCAGTGTTCCAAATGCTCAAAAGAAAACTTACCCATACCAATGTGGGGATGGCTGTCTTCAGCAGCTTACACTGCAGTATGGGATCATAATCTTCAGGCTTGAAGTGCTTTGAGCAGACTCTGGCACCAGCAGGGTATTTCTCTTCTTTTGTCATGTCACATGCTGTGAGCCATGCAGCTCCTGATGGGGTGCCTGCAGAAGGCATGCTGAAATACAAAGAAAGTTCCACCAATTAATATGTGCTGACAACCAGCCTAATGTCTTGGATGGGAAGCTGCAAAGCAACCACATCCACATTATAGTAGCTGAATGGGAAAAAACAATTTGTTGCAATGTTGGTGGAATGAGCACTGCTGACAAATCGCAGCATGGGTTCCAATTCCATTAGCAACATCCTGTTTTTGGTACTTGGGAAGGGAACTTTTATCACAGGCAGCCACATTGTGGACAATATTCATGGAGATATGCTTGTGATGTTCATCACCTGCATTTTGCTGGCAACCATTCAATACCTGGACTGGATACAAGTGATCATTGCATGAGTTCAAAAAACCTGCACACCCAGTAAAAAAAAAACAGTGTAAGCTTGCCAGTCTAAGCCCAATTGCTAAATTTTTGCTAAAACTGTTACTTTTTAGCCCTCTCCAAACATTGCAAATCCCACACCCAGCAATGCCCAAAGTTCAAAATGAACACAAGCATTATAAGGTTGCTGTCAATGCCCTACCTAATAAGCTAATGAAGTGTATCCTTGATTATCATTGGAACTCACTATTCTTACCCATGCACCACCTGAGGTTCTTCATTATCACAAAACAACTTTTTGTGCTTACACTGAGTGGCACAACACTGAGATGGCACTGCATTCCTACAAATAGAGTTGTTCCCATTTAGATCAGCCAATCACACAGCCCTACATTAAATGTTGTGCAAAGCAAGCCATCTCTATGCAACTTCTAAGTTTGAAGATGATGGCATTGCAGTGAAATAAATGTTTATTATGATCATGTATCATAAAACATCATTTTTGATACTTTTTATCAGAAATATGCATTGCCTGAAGTGATCCCAACAAGATCATAATTGCCTAAAACAATGGCTGTTTGTGCACTGACATCAGAGGTGATTGTTGTACTTGGCATCTCAGATATATGATGAGCATGCCCTGAAGTTGTTGTGGGGATGTTTGTGCTATGCCACACTTGTCAGGTGTGATGTATAATTTATGCAGTCTTGTTGTCATTCATTGCAATTACAAGGGATGACATATAGCATGACACATGTATTTGCTACAGTACATGTCATATTCCTGCCTTGTGAATGCCATCCAATTAGGTGTCATGTACCTATTGCATATGCATTCACATGTGCATTATTTTAACTCAATGCCTAAGGTGTTTTCATACAAGATTTAAACACACTAAAACAGTTAGCATCCACAGCATCAGCCAAAACTAGTTTTGAATAATCAGGTAATTCAAAATATTAGTCTACAAACAGATCTGTTGGGTGTTTCCAATACACAAGTGTGCTGGGCCCAGTGAAAAACAACAAAAACTTCAGGCCAGCACATGAGCTGGGCTTAATGCTCGTTAAAAACAGGCAATATGTTGGCCTTAATGTCCTGCAACATCGTAAAACCTCGAAAAATTGGATACCAACGTCCTGAAATGGCTGGCGACCATGCAACGAATCTAGCACTCGAAATCACAGAGCCTGGCGCCGTTATCATTTTCATCACGTTTTTAAGTCGCGCATTACGCCAGGGAACGACGTACGGCCAAATGCGTTTTGTGTGCTATTGTCCGTCCGAGTGCCCTATCGATCTGGTCACATAGTTACCGCCAAAAAGACGGCCATGTCTCTAGTGCGCAATTACTCGCCACATGTATGCCAGTGGAATTCGTTCTTTCCTGCTCGCTGATTGGCTCGTCTTTTTTATTATTGTAGTTTACACGCACATGCATCGGTGTCATTGCTAAAATGAATGAATGGTATTTTTAATTATAGCTGTTAGAGGCTGCACATGCACATTGCACAGCCAATATCAAGCTAGATGGCTGCGAAACCCCCTCCCCCTAATCGTTCATTTGAAAACCAGAAACAGTATAGACACTCATGCGCAGCGGGTGCGATCGTGCGCACAACATTGCACCGTGGAGCAGTAGCGCAGACGGGGGGGGGGAGGCACGGGGGGTGCGTGCCCCCCCCCCCCCCCCCGCTCCTTAGGCTCCGAGAAGCCTGAAAAACCCTTTAGACTTACGAATAAAGGCCCGACTGGAGGGCACGAAAGGTCGGCCGGAGGTCGTATTCAGGGGCACGGCCCGCAGGGCCGCGCACTTCAATGCCATCCAGAGGGCCCTGCGCGCTAATTAAGGGCCTCCTGAGTCCATAAGGACCTATGTGTTGGTCGGACGCCACTAATCACGCGCAGTCAGCTCCATGCCGGCGTGGGTCTGGGGGCCTATTCCCCAAGCAGGGTCAAAGTGAGAGCCAGCGGTTTGCATTGCCCGAGCCCCCAGCTTCTGTCAGGAGCCTCACAGCGCCTAACATGGGGCCCCGTGTTGGCAAGGGGCCGGAGTCGTCCAGAGGCAGTGTTCGAGGAGGCCCGAAGAACCTGGAAGAACCCGAAGAACCCACCGGGTCCGGCGATCAAGGCCCTGATTGGAGGGTCTAAGGGCTCGAAGGGCTGGTCAGGTCTTATTCATGGTTTCCAGCCTGCAGGGACGGGCCCTCAAATGACAATCATCGGGCCCTTTGCGCCGATTAGGGACTCCCTGAATCGATATGGATGTGTATGTCAGTCAGGCATCACCAGCACTACAATCAGCTCCGTGTCGACGTGGCTCTGAGGGCCAATTTCCCAATCAGGTACAAAGCCGGGGACAGCGATTCCCACTGGTTGGGCCCCTTTTTCTGTCAGTGGCCCACAGTGCCTAACACATGGTCCTGTGTTCGCAAGGGGCCCCGAGCCGACCAAGAGCGGTGTTTGACTAGGCCCGAAGAGGGACCTGGGAGGCCCAGCGGAACCGACGAGATGCAGGGCTTGGTTTGGCGGGGCGGGGGGGGGGGGCATATGGGCCTCAACGACTGGCTGGAGGTCACATAAAGAACCGTGATCCATAGGCCCGTGACCTGAAATATAAGTCAGAAGGCCTTTGGCATCGATTGAGGTCCCCTTGAGACAATGCCGGCGTCTATATCGGCTAGAGACCACCAATACCGAATAGTTGGCTACACGTTGGCCTGAACCCTGGGGCCCATTTACCAAATAGGAGCAAGGCCGGAAACCGCGGTTTGCATTGATTGGGGCCCCTGCAACAATGCCGGACTCCTCTATGAGTCAGGGGCCCACAGTGCTTCACAGGGATTATGTGTCAGGTAATGTCCCCGAGTGGGTCACAGGCTTTGTTTGAGGAGGTCCGAACAGGGGACGAAGGGCCGCTCGGGGCCAAAGATCAAGGATCCGATCGGAAGGCTGAAGGGCCCGAAGGGGTGGCTGTAGGTTGCATTTAATACCCCCGCCCGTAAGGCAGTGATCTCAAATGTCTGTTAAAGAGTCTCCTATACCGATTGGGGACCTCTGAGACAGAGTACTCCTCTATTTCGGCGCGTGATCACAAACACTGAGCAGTCGACTGCGTGTCGGTCTGATCTCTTGGGGCCCATTTCCCAAGCAGGGACAAGGCCAGGCCCGTGATTCGTGTTGGTCGAGGTCCCTGTAACGATGCGGGCCTCCAGAATCGGTCAGGGGTCCAATGCCTAACAAGGTGCCCTGCGTCAACAAAGGGCCTCGAGTCGGTCAGGAGAACATTTGCGCAACAGGAACGGGGACGGAACCCCGAATGAAAGAGGACCTCTGACGTTGGTCGGGGCCTTCTGACAATGAAAAGAAACATTATGACTTATGATAAGCGTTCACATTGAGACAATGCAACGGTCCTGTGCCAGTCATAGCCCCCGGAACCAAACGGCGGGCCCTTCAATCCAGTTCCAGCATGGGCCCGTTAAGTAGAACTAGAGTTTATGGGCCAATTATTGGACTACCTGCGGCAATCAGGGAAGTTGTTGCATCAGTGAGGGTTCCTGCGTCAATACGGGCCAACTGTGCGGGTCAGGAGGCCCTACGCGTCAGGAAGGGACCAATGTAATATGATACATCCCTCTAAGGGCCTACGGATCGACCAGGGGATCCCGTCCCTTGTGACTAGAATGGCAGCCAGAATGGGATCTCCGCGGAGATGGTATCTTTGGGATCTTTCGAATGTAAACGTCTAATAACCTTGTCACTTTTTGGGTTCTGATCTCGACTTGTTTGTTTTGACCTCGTGACAGGATTTCGAAACAAAACCACACAACTTTATGCAGTCTGTAGAACTTGAAACGTTGCTCATCACTGCCAAAGCAGGCAGACTGAGTACCAAACTACAGCAGGGTCAACAACACCTAGTTATCGTGTAACTAAAATTAAGCGGCATGCCGAAAAACCGAAAAAATATCAACTGAACACGACACTAGTTTTTTACAACAGGTATTATATCGATTTCTCATCTTTGTACCCTGCTTTACTCAGGCGCCAGAAGGTTGGGGGAAACTCACCGCCGGGGGAGGGTTAACTTGAAGATAGATTGGGGGGGGGGGGGGCAGTGGCTCATCCAAAAGTATGCCAAGCGGCACCCGGGCCCCGCACAGTCTCAGCTCCAGTCCCTCTCTCCGTACACTCTCAATTCTTGCTCCACCTGCCGCACACTCAGAGCTCCAGCTCCACCCCGAACACTCACAGGCCTCGCAACCTCCAGGGCCTCCCAGCCTTTAACAGGGCATGATGGTACCTGCTTGTCCAGAACAGGGTGCTTACAATTCACAAACTGGCATCGAAATCCAGCCAATGACCGGAGCCACGGCCATCTCATGTCTGGAAGGGGCTTCCTGTTCCAGAAATGGCACCTCCTGAATATTGAGGGTTCCTCCTATACCAGAGCAGTGACCTAGTTCGCAACGAGGCATCCCGAGCCGGCAAAGCCTGCTTAACCTGTCTGCGGCAACTGCTTCCTAATGGTCTCGAGGTGCTGATGCTGATGATGCAGGTGTTGATGCGTACGCTTTCTGAAAATTTGAGAGGCACCGACACTGTGAGCCTGCTTAACACAAAATTGGACATACTGATCGAGCATTGGTGTTGGCTACCATGTTCATAAAAATGACCTCAGGACCTAAAAACGGATCTTTTGATGTAGCAAAGGGCCTTTAGGGTCCATTTATTAGTCTAGCTCAGCTATGAGAGCCTCTTCAATCCGAGTTTTGGTACACTACAGGTAGCTGCAATGCCTCTTAGGAAGGGAAAAAAGACCACCAAATATTTTGAGCTACCCCACTGGATGCCGTCAGAGGGACAACTGTCCCTCTGCTGTGTGATTTGGATGAAAAAATCCTGCGGGTGCCTGCTAAATTTCTAGGACGAGTACGTCTTAGGGCATGGATCGATCCCATTAGCAGCAGTTGCAGGTGTTGGTGGTGTTTTAGTGCGGAGTGGCTTCCAGCGTGGTTCCAGGGTTAGAAACCAGCCCCTTCAGATTGGAACGAGCATTTGAGATGTGACTTTTGGTGTTGCCCAGGGTGTAATCCTGGCGTAGTCCTGTTTTTTTGGTTTTCATGGAAGATCTGACGTGACACATGGCATGCGCAATGAGCAGCATACATGCCAATGACATCCAGATTATTATACTATGTTACCAGGGAATGTTCCTCATTTGAAGACATTGGATCAAACATCAGATACGATGAAATAAGCTCACTTATAACTATTGATATAATTTTATGTGGAAAAGACTGCTCCAGACAACACAACTTCTATGCTCGGTAAATATGCTCCTCAATGCGCCATTGTTTGATTTCATCATTGTACCTTGCACAACATTGATTGAGAGCCAATTGACGGCTACTTTTCGCTGGGAACCGTGCTCACGAACATCAAACGTGATCATCAGATATGAACAATTCGACAATTGTGTTTTTCTTGGCCTTGGTCACCGCATGGCCGATGGAATGACAGGATCTGAATGACATTATTATGGCGTCACGGATGCCTGGATGACCTTGAAATAGTCTCTCCGAAATAGTATGCACATCATCACAGGCGTGTATCTAAAAACTAGAGAGGTTTTAGGCCTTAAACCGTGGCCGGCGGGGGGAAGGGGAGGGTATGTTGACTACCCTCCGTACAGGTGTTTTTTTTTAGCACAGCTCAAAAATGAACGTTCGCAGCAATGCCAAATCGTCAGTACCTATATATCTTTCAAGCTGACATCCTTTGTGCAAACTTAAAATTTGATCTTTCAAGATAAGTGACCAAGGCGAGGTCAAAAAGGTCAATTTCTATAAAAATTTGACCACGTATAGGTTTTATTGTACACTGGTTGTCATTGCTCAAGCTTGCTCAGTAAAAAAACTTGGTAGTGCCTACAGCTTGTATATTTCAGATGTTTCAAGACAGTCGACGTAGGAAACTTGGGTTGAGCTCAGTACTTGCCACTTCATGTAAATAATGCAATTTGTGCGCATTCTGTACAGTTTTGCTGTTTGCGTATGAGGAAAAGAGTACTAACTCACATACACAACCATCAAATGACCATAGAGCATAAGACGTTAACCATAGAGCTTACGACGTTGACCATAGAGCTCATGACGTTAGGTCATGACCTACCTCTATGGTTGCCTCTTGCAACGGAGTTATTCGAGTATACTCCACTGAAAACACGCTGTGGTATCATTATAATTCATAATGAGGTCACATTAGGTCCCGTCAGGATAAGCAAGACCATATGAGA